GAGCCAGGGGCCCTGCGTTGTCGCTGTGACGTCAGGTGAGCCTGTGCCGGCTTGTCCCTTGGGCACCTGCCCAGGGCTCGTCCCCGGCCTGCCCTGGGGTCCTCTGGGGGTTGCTCAGGCTCCCAGATCAGACCTCTACGGGGGCCTGTCTGTCCTGCCCCATTGCCCCTCCCAAAGCCCCAGGTGGTCGAGGGTAGGGGGTGTGCGTGTCATATTTTGGATTGGCACTGAGGTGTGGGGACCTCCGTGGGGAGGGGAGGAAGCCCCCCAGAGGGTGAGGGGCTGGGGGTCAACCCTGTCAGGGTAGCACCTGGGGCACCGTGAGGCCAGGGCTGTGCATCCTCCCTGCCGCCTGGCTCTGCCCCCGACAGGCCCATGGGGGCCGCCCCAGGGCTAGGCTCCGCGCAGAGCGGGCGGCAGTCCCCTTGGCAAGGCGCCTCGCCGCCTCGAGCCTCCGTTTGCCCTCTGTGCAGGACAGACCGCCAGGACCCTCCCCTCCGCGGCTGCTGAGACTTCGGGAACGCAGCTGCAGAGGGATCTGAGGCGCCCGATGCATTTAAAACCCCTTAGCTTTGGCCCTGACCGATGTGGCTCGCTGCTTGGGCATCAGCCTGCGAAGTGCAAAGGTTGCCGGTTTGATGCCCGGTCGGGGCCCAGGCCTGGGTGGCAGGTCCAGTGCCGGGTCAGGGCGCGTGCGAGAGGCAGCGGATCAATGTTTCTCACGATGTTTCTCTCCTTCTTTTCCCTTTCTTCTCCTCTCTCTAAAAATAAATAAAATCTTGAAAACAAACTTTTAGCTTTTGGACAAAATGACCTTGCTGTCGTCGCATTTAAACAAAGACAGAGGAAGATAAGGGGGAGCCACCAGAAAACAAAAGCCTCTGAACCCCACGAGGAACAGGGACAGGGACACGGGGCCCAGAGCAGCGGTGAGGCCAGGGGCCTGCGCCGGGCAGGGGCACCCCCAGGACACTCGGCCGGCCAGGGCGGCGGGCCAGGCTGCTGAGCAGGCCAGGGAGCCTCAGGACGCCCAGGCCAAGGCCCCTGCAGCAGGGCCATCCTGGAGCGGGCCTGCCCGCCCTGCTGCGCACGGGGTCCGCCTGGGGACGTGTCTGCAGGCACGGAAGTCGCGTCGGGAGAAGGCTCCACAACCGCGCAGCGGGCGTCCCGACCCACTCTCTGCTCCCGCCTCGGACGGGGCTGTCGTCTGCCCTATGGGACAAGGAAAGGGATGTTTACACCTTTTTCTGTCCTAGCGATTGTGGGAACCCAAAGTGAGGCTTGGAGGGCAGGGTTTTGAAACGAGGGGCCGAACGCGGTCCGGGTGCGTTTCCCGGACCAAGACCCTGCCCGGTTCCAGCCCGCGAAGACCGACCTCCACCGCCGGGGACCCGGAACTGGGGCCGGCCCGGCGCCCCGCCCGGATCCGTCCGGCCCCGCCCCGCCAGGCCCCGCCCCGCCCCGCCAGGCCCCGCCCCGCCCCGCCTCCGCGCGGCCCACGAGCGCCGCCTGGTGCAGACGCGCGGACTGGCCGCCTGGCGCACCGCTTCCGGGTTCGGATTGAGTGACAGGGCACGACCAACCGACGCAAGGAGGCGGGACCAAGAGGGGCGGAGTCGCCGGACCGGGAGCGAGGCCCGGCGACGGGGTGGGGCCGGGTGTTGGGACCGACCCCTCGGCGGGCAAAACCTAGGACTGAGGAGGCGGGGCCGAGCGACGGACCGGGGGCGGGGCTGAACGACGCGTCAGGGTGCCGGGGCGGGGCCGAGCGAAGGGACGGGGCCGAGCGCCCGGCAAGTAGTGGGACCGCAGGACCCGAATGGGGCGCGGTGTCTGTGCGGGCTTCTCGAGAAGCCTTTGAATCTGCGGACGGAGCGAACGAGAGCGTGGACGGCCCCGGGTGAGCTTTGGAGGCCCGCACGGAGCGCAAAGGCGCCGCGAGGTCTGTCTGTCTGAGCCGCGACCTCCGTCCGGTCCTGCCCTCGGGCGTCTGCGCTCCTGGTTCTCAGGCCGTCGCCCGCCCCTTCAGTCCACCGCCTGCTCCCCGGGTCTCCGGCTCGCAGCCGGCAGCTCCGGGAGGTCTTGGACTCCATAATCACGTGAGCCAATCCCTACAATAACAGCATCTGCATATAATTGGTTGTATTTTGGTGGAAAATTCTAACACAACTCCCAATGGAATGGTTATTAACCGGCCTTACAAAATGAAGGACATTGTGACATTTGCTGCGTGGACGGACCTTGAGGACGTGCTCCGTGGAGTAGCCAGACCAGGCACAAGAGGGACACGCGCCGTGCCATCCCTCTCCCGCGAGGTCCCGGAGGAGGCAGGCCCATGCAGACAGAGCAGGCAGCGGTGCAGGGGCTGGGGAGCGGCTGGGGCGAGTGTTAAGTGGAATCAGTGTCAGCTGGGGAAGAGGGAAAGTTCTGGAGGGGACAGCGGTGACGACCGCACAGCCGTGTGACGTGCCTGCTGCCTCTGAGTTCCACCTGCAGAATGGCTGGGATGGCGAATTTTATGTGATGTGTGTTTCTCCCACATAATAAAAGAGAACAAACAAAAAGAGTGCGGTACGTCATTGAGGGTCAACAAATGTTCCCGCCTTTTGCAGAGTGATGTTTCATGCAGACTCCACCACTGTAATCAACAGGTACATGAAAACAAGAAAGCCTCGCAGCGCGGTCCGGGCTGGCGTTGGAGCGAACTCCCGGCGCCGGAGCCTGGCTGGGTGGCGAGAGGCCGCCCGGCTTTGCCCTGAGGCCCCGGCTGCCCCACCCGGCCGCCCGCGTTGTGCCCTCCGCTGCCTCCTCCGCGGGCTGTGGTTGCTTGCTCTTTCCAGTGCAGAGAGGCCCACTGGAGCGGTGCTGCACTGCTGGCTCCTGTCGCGGGGATCTTCAGGTGGGAGGGCGGGAGAGTCTTCGCATGGTGCAAGGGAGGGAACCGGAGCAGGCTTCTTCCCCGCCAACACCCCGCCCGGCCGCCCGGTGGCCTGGCGCCCGCTGGGGCCCTCCTGTCCCTGTCAGCACAAATCTGCGGCCTCAGCAGCTGGCGGCCCTGTGGCTTCAGCTTCCCTGGCGGCCGAGCCGGCAGAGCAGCGGGCGGTGGCGGGGGCAGGGCATGGCTCACCTGCTCAGATTCATCAAGCAGCCACAGGCCGGGGCAGGTGTGCGCACCACACAAGCAGGACGCCGGGGGATGGCACGTGGCGGGGGAGGGGGTGACAGTGACCCTCTCGGGGCAGGAACTGCAGGGCGTGGGAGGGGCCCCTCAGCAGGTCTTGTGCTCGGTGCCCGGGGGGAGCAGCAGCAGCCCTGAGCAGCAGCAGGGGCGTTGGGAGCCCTGCGGGGGGGTGCCTGTGTCTGAGGGCCAAGCACGCGTGTGCAGGTATGTGTGCTGCTGTGGCATCTGCTCACTAAACGGCCGGCACCTGGCCCCCTCAGGAGCCAGCTTTGCTCTTCTGAGTGGAAGGGAGGTCGGGTTTCCCTGAGGGTAGCCCCTGCCGGCCAGAGGAAAGCTGGCCTGGCCTCGCAGTGGCCAGTCTGGCCCCCCGGCCCGCTCTGCTCTGCCCCCTCACCCCCAGCCAGGTGAAGTTGTCCTCCTCTTGGGCTGCAGACCCCTGGCCGCGCTCACACCCTCCCCCGGCTTAGAGCACCTGCCAGTGCTGGCGGCGCTGGTGCTGGGTCCCCACGGCCCTGAGGGCGATACCTGAGCGGGGCGGGCCGCCAGCGAGGACCCTCACAGGCCGGCGAGGGTCCTGCCACAGGGAGGGAGGGAAGGTGAGGCGGCAGAGCGGGGACAGCCCCTCCACTGCCCTCGGCCGGAGGTGTCCATCTTTGCTGCGGCCCTGGGAGAACCACGCCGGGGCGGGGGCCTTGGCGGGGACTCAGGGCCTGAGGGGGCCCCAGGGCGGGCGGTGCCCAGGCCGAGGCGGGCCAGGAGGGGCCTGTGGGGAAGAGCCAGCCCTGTCCCTAAATAGGGCCGCAGGATCTCCTGGCCATAAAAGGTTCTCGGAATCTGGACCCCGGGGGCCATGGGCCGCCGGGCCCAGCGAAGACGCGCCGCTCCCGTCCCCGTGCTCTGCCACAGAAGCTCTAGCGACGCCGTGCAGTGTCCTCTCAGCCAGCCACAGACATGGTGAGGCCCTTCCGGCAGAGCCCCCGTGGCGGGCTGCTGGCGGTGGCTGGGGCGGGGCTGGGGGCTGGGGGCTGGGGCGCCGGGCACAGGGCTGGCTGGGCCTGGGGCTATAAGGGTCTCCCTGGGAACCCAAGGAAGCAGTTCCGTGAGGCTGGACGGAGAGGGCACAGCCGGGGCCGAGCAGCCCTTCCCAAAGCTGCCACGGTGGGGGCAGGCAGGCGGTGGCCAGGGGCTGGGCTGTCCCCAAGCCCTGCCTGCGTGCAGGCCCGGAAGCCCCTTGCCCTGGAGCCTTCACCCTGACCTGGGCGGGGCTCCTCCCCACGTTGGTCCCAGGTGCCCCTCACCTGGCCTCACCGTGTGCCCACTGCCGCGGCCCCGTGCCCTGGCCCCTGGGCCCCTGGCGCCCCCCACCCAGCCCAGCTCAAGTGCCCGTCCCCCTCAGCGGCCGGTCGGAGCCCTGCTCATCCCTCAGGGCCCGCTGCCTGTTGCCCCTCATCCTGGAGCTCCAGGCTGGGGCCTCCTTTTTTTTTTTAATTTATTTTTAGCGAGAGGAGAAGGGAGACCGAGAGGGAGAGAAACATCGTTGTGAGAGGGAGAAACAGTGGCCTCTCGTGCGCCCCCTACTGGGGACCTGGCCCGCAGCCCAGGCCTGAGGCCTGACCGGGAATCACGCTGGCGACCCTGCGGTTCGCAGGCCGGCGCTCCGTCCACGGAGCCGCACCTGCCAGGGCTGGGGGCCCCCTTTCGAACCACGAGCTCTGAAGGATGTGTTGAGCCCCGCGCCCTGCTGGGGCCTCACATGTCCCCTGGAAGGAGGGCAGCAGGACCCCGTGGAGCAGGCCGCCGTGTCCCCGCATCCTTGCAGACAGAGAGCCTGGTGGCCGCGCAGGCCACCAAGTACAAGGGGGTCTTCGAGATGTTCAACGAGGAGGGCAACAGGGAGGTGACGATGGGGGAGCTGGAGCGGCTCGTGAGCCGGCTGGGCACCAACCCCACAGAGAGCCAGCTGACCTCCATGGCCAAGGCCGTGGACCGAGACAGTGAGCCCAAGGCGGGGCCCGGGGTCCACCGCCTGCGTGGGAGGGGTGCGCCCTGCCCTAGCTCCCTGCAAAGCCTTCTTCAACTGCGACAGCTTCCTGGCCCCGACGGGGATTCCCTGGGAGAAGGCCCGGAACCAGGAGGGCGAGCTGCGGGTGGCCCTCCGAGTCTTCGACCAGGAGGGCAAGGGCTGCCTCCACCGGGACACACTCGAGCAGGGCGGGGCTGGTGGGGCGAGCGAGGGCGGGCGAGGGCGGGCGCCCCGCGGGCTGCCACTCATGGTGGGGGGCCGGCCTCGCGCAGGTCTGTGCTCATGAACGCGGGCGAGCCCCTCAGTGAGGTGGACACGGGGCAGCTGATGGAGGAGGCCATGAGGACGACCACGAGGGTGAGCAGGGGACGGGCCCCGGGAGCTCACAGCCCAGGCCGGCCAGGCTGCTGTCACGCCCTCTGCTTTCCGAGTTCGTGGCCATGATGACCGGAGAGTCCTTCAAGCTAGTCCGGTAGGAGCAGCTGCTCTGGCTGTGGGCGGCCTGCCCGGTGGAGGAGCCACTGCCCGCACCACCGGCCCCGCCCCAGCGATGCGGCCAATAAACGCGCCCACCTGACCCCTGTGTGCTTCAGTGTTTCCAGCCTCGTGGAGACGTGGGTCTGGAGGCGGGAGAGAGTTTTCCAGAGTCACCCATGGCACGCAACCCGTCACTTCTGCTGTGACACTTGACACCACCCACAACAGCAGCCCAAAGGTGGGGCCGGGCCCAGGCTGAGCCCTGCCACTCGCCCCGTCTGCCCGCACTGGGGGCGGCTGCCCGAGAGCCCCTCCCCCAGCCCTTTCCTACGGGCAGACGCCAGTTAGGTACAAACTTTATTCTCTCCAAAAAGCTGCGGAGGCCTAGGCCTGCGGGGCTTCCTTTGGCAGAGGGCCGGCTGGGGTGGGGCCGGGGCCGGGGCCGGGGCTGGACGTAGCAGCCCGTGCGCACTCACGCGTGTGTCTGCCTGGCGTCGCACGGCAACGAGGCCAGGGCTGCAGCAATGTGCTGGACGTCTGGCCTTCCCTGGGGAAGGATGCTGAGGGTGGGCTGCGGTCTCCTGGGAGCGCGAGGGGGCCGGTGCCATTGGGAGCTCAGGAGACCTTCCGCTTCCCCGTCCCCCCTGAGGGGCACCGGGGCCACAGCTGGCGGTGTCAGGCTCTGAGGCTCGGCTCCTCGGCCTTGGCGGGGTCTCCAGACCTGAGGCCCTGGGAAGGGGGCTGGCTACTGAGGGCGCGGCTCTTCCTGACCGGGCTTGGCCACCTTGACAGCTTCATCGTAGGAGGGAGGCAGCTCGAGGTCGTAGAGGCTGTAGGCGGGGAGGGTCACGGAGTCGAAGTCCAGCTCCCCAAAGGGCAGGGGCAGCCGCATGCCCAGCGGGTGCTGCACGGAGCTGTAGGCTGCAGGGAAGCAGACAGTGTTTGCGTGGGAGGGTCTGGCCCCGCCCCCACTCCCCCGCAGGCAGGCGGGCCACCGGCCGGGGGTGCCGGGCTCACAGGTCACAGTGCTGTGCGCCGGGCTGTCGCTGTCCATGGGGATGAACGTCAGGTCGCAAGGCTGGGGCCTTGACGACAGGTGCGTCTGGGCGTGCGCCCGCTTCCGGAGGCAGCAGAACCGGACACAGCTGGCCGTGACCCCGCACAGCAGCAGCAGCAGGATGGCGAGCAGGATCAGCCTGGGGGGGGGGGGAGACCCTGCCGCTGGACGACCCCGCCACTCGGGGCCGGCTCCCGGCTGGACCCACCGCGGAAAAGACAACCAGAGGCTGGCTGTCCAGGCAGGACACCGCCTCCCTGGTCAGAGCCCGGCTGAGGCGCTGGCCAGCCCTGGCCTCCTGGTGCTGGCCCTGGCTGTCTCTCCGGGGCTGGCCACAAGCGGCCTTGGGCTCACTCCCAGGACACACTGTCCTGGGCCGGCTGCACAATCCTGTGCTCAGACCAGCGACCATGTTCACAGGAGTCCCCTCAGCACAGGGGAAGGAGGGAGCGGGAGGCGGGCAAGCGGGCTCTGGAGGAGCGGCCTGCCCAGGGCTGGGGCAGGACCCACAGGGGGAGGCCGCCGCCGGTGCGGGAGGCAGGGGGCTGGGGTCGGCCTTCCAGGCGGCTGAGGGCCCCGAGCCTTATCGCCGGCCCGGAGGGGGACAGCGCTGGCCACGGCTCAGCCGTGGAACCAGGCGGTGTGGGGTCCGGTGAGCCTGGCCCCGGGGAAGCGCGGACCCGGCCCCGCGCCGCCGCGGCCTCCACTTACCCCACGTGCCACAGGCTGCTCCAGCGGGCCTGGGGCGGGCACCTGCGGGAACGGCATCACCTGGAGCAGGCGGGCACGGTCCGCCAGCCGCCCCGCCCCGCCTTCCCAAAGGGCGGGGCCAGGCCCCTGCGGCCTCCCGCCACCCGCCTCCCACTCACTGGTCCGAGGGGTCGCAGCTGCGGTCCGAGAAGCCCAGCGTCACCTGCGGGGACAGGGATGAGTTGGGGCTCGGGCGCGCCAGGCGCAGACCCGCCCCGCGGAGCCCAAGCCGAGCGCGCGGCGACCCACCTGCGGCAGCGGCAGGAGCGACAGCAGCAGCGGCAGGAGCCCACGGGCGGCCGGCGACCCCGCGGACATGCTGGGCGCGGACCCGGAGCGCGAGCCCGGCCGCCCCGCGGCTTTATGGAGGCCCCGCCCAGCAGCAGCCCCGCCCCAGCCGTGTGGCCCCGCCCCCGCGTCCACCCAGGGTAGGCCGCGAACTTTGGAGGCCCCGCCCCCAGAGGCCCCGCCCCGCGGCCGCGCCCAGCCCCGCCCCGCCCCCCGCCCTGAAGGACCGCCCGCGCGGGGTCGGTCTCCCCTCGTCCCCGATCTTAGGCCCTCTGGGCCCAGGCGCGAAACCCTCAGCCTGTCCGGCAGTCGGGCTGCGAAGCGGTGGCCGGAACAGGTGGCCGCCAGGACCGGTGCGGCCAAACGGGGCACGCCCTGGTGCTCCGGTGCTCCTGGCGAAGGGCTGCGACAGGCCGGGCGAGCCCCTGGCGCGCCCCAGGCCTGGTCAGCGACAGGTCCGCCGCAGGCGCACGCTGGCCGGCGCGGGGCTGGCCCTCGGGGACCAGAGCTCGACTCTGGCCCTCCTGCGTCCTGGGCTGCGGGCCGCTTTCCGGGCGCACTTTGCCTGGGAGGCCGAGCTCCCCCTGGGGAAGGTGGCTGCTGCGGCGTCTGGGCCGGGCGCCCGCTGCCCATCCTGCCTGGGAAGGCTGGGGGCCGTTTCTCCCAGGAAGCCCCCAGCTCCCGCCCCTCAGCCCACCGGGCTCGGCGCCCTGTTGGGGCTGCTCTGCTGCCTCTTCATTGCTCCCAGCACATTCCACACGCATCTCTGCCCCTGGAGGGGTGACTACCCTCTGGGGAGCAGGGCTACCCCGCCTGGGCTCTCTGCGGCCAGGGCCTGCCAGGCACCTGCTGCTCCACCCCGACCCCTGTCGGGGCCCAGCCCCAGAGCTGTCCCGCGCCCCCCGCTGTGAGGCCACTCTCAGCGCCCCTCCAGCCCGGCCCTCCCTCCTCCTCCGGCCTCAAGTGCCTTCGAGGCCCAGCTCAGGAGCGGGAGGGAGGGTGGGCTGCGAGTTCAGGCAGGACCTTGGCCACTCGGTACCAGGGCCCCCTAGTAGGAGAGCCAGGCTGGGCGTTGGAGGACAGCGCCTGCCCCTCCTGCTGGCCGCCTGCCCGAGGAGGAGGCGGCAGGAAGGGCCTGCAGGGAGAGCCTGCTCCTGGGGCCGGGCCCCGGTCTGCAGGACCCTGCCTTCTCATCTTGCCGCCACAGGGCGAGGCGGCGGCTTGGGCTCTGGCAGGTCCACGCCAGGGAGGGGTAGGACGGAACCTGGGTCTGCCCACCCAGCCCTGTCAAGGGTTGCCCTGGGGTGGCTGTCACAGGCTCACGGTCAGGGAGAGGGCATGCTTCCAGGCCCCACGGGCGACGAAAACAGGGGCCAGCAGGGCGCTGCGGGCTGGCATCCGGAGCCTGTGCCCAGCCAAGGCCGCGGTCCTGGTGGGGCCTGGCGTGGGTGGGCTCTGTGGGGGCCGCGTCTGCCCTGCTGCTCTGCAGAAGGCAGGGGCTGGGGCGCGGGTGCCACCCTGACTCCTGGGAGTGTCCCGTGGGCCTGGGAGGGGAGGCTTCTATTTCAAAGGGCTAGTTGTGCCCGAGGGCTGAGCTGAGCCCGGACTCAGCTCAGGAAGGGGGGCTGAACCCCTGCGCGGGCCCCACCCTGGGCCCTGGCTGGGAGTGTCCCGGCCTCCGCTCACTCCTTGCTGGGGGTCGTCAGGGATCCTGGGACTGGGGGGAGCAGGGAGGGTGCAGGGCCCCTGGCTTTGGAGTCTCCTTCCCCGCCCTGGGCCTCTCCCCCTGCCCCTGCTGTCTGTTGTCTGCCCCCCCAACTCCAGACCCCGCCCTCCAAGAGGTCCCTCAGAGTCTCCCAGGTGGAGCTCAGTGTTTTATGGACTGATTTGGCCAGGGGGGGGAGCAGGGAGCTGCCCTCCGGGCCCCATCCCCACCTCTCATTCTGCGAGACCCGGGAACGACCCACTGTGGCACAGACCGCACACCAGCACGCGGAGCTCCCGGAGGGTTTATTGACAGCTCCTCCCTGCACTGGGCAGGTGCCGGTGGGGCCGGGGCTCCGAGGGGCTCAGGCAGGAGCGGGCAGACAGGAGGGGGAGCTCTCGGCCCTGGGGCGCATCAGGTCCAGGGCTGGGCGTCTCGGCTGTGTGGCCCCGCAGGGGGTGCCCGGGTCCCAGGCCCATGGGTGCCTTGGCCTGGCCCACGGACTGGGGAGGGCTTCCGGGGGGTGGGCAGGAGGGCTCAGGGCCGCAGGAGAGGCTCCTGTGGCTTCAGGGGCCGGTCAGCACCTGGGCTATGAAGAAGACCTTGTAGGTCTCCTTCACGTCCCCCCTGAGCTGCAGCAGGGCGGACACCAGGAGCGGGCGGTCCGGCTGCAACAGGTGGGGAGCGAGGAGAGGACACTCAGCTGGCCGACAGCACTCCGGCCAGGCCTGCTGTCCCGCTGCCCCACCGCCCGCCTCGCCCGCCCAGACCCACTCCGCAGCCCCCCCCCCGGGTGGGCAGAGGGGCCCCCTGCCCGACCTCCGGCCACCGCAGGCTCTGGCCCAGGCACCTACGTCAAAGTCGGCGGGCGGCACCCAGGAGATGCTGATGGTCTTGGTCTGGCCGCGCTCCACGGTCCCCCTGGGGGGGTCGAGGGTGAAGCCCTTGTGCTGCAGGGCCGCAACGCTGTCCAGGCTGAACTCGACGGTCTGCGGGCAGCGGAGCCGCTGGCCACCCGGCCCAGGCTCGCGCCCCAGGGGCAGGGGATGGGCGGGGCCGGCCCTGCCACCCTCTCAGTACCCACCCCTGTGAGCGGCCAGGCGACGTGGGCTGGGGCTGCCGGGGGCAGGAGGGCAGCTGCCGAGGTGCTGGGGTGGGCGGGGCGGGGCTGTGGTCACCTTCTTTGGGGAGAGCTGGGTGGTCCGGATGCAGCCCACCTGCAGCTCACGGGTGGCAGGTGGGGCTGGCGTGTCCGCGTCCAGCTGAAGGTGGTCCAGGGTCACCAGGATAGGCTTCGGCTCCTCTGCTTCTGGCGAAGTAGGGCCTGGCTGGGGTCTGGCAGGGACCGGCGGGGAGCAGCCGGCTGGGGCGGTGGGGGACAGAGGGGAGCTGGGCCTCGCCAAGGCTCCGTTCAGCACGCCCGCCCCCAGAGGCTCACCCTCTCTGCGCTCTGGGTCCCAGGCGGGGATCCCGGTCAAGGACTCCACGGGCACGTCCAGGGGGTCTCCGCCCTCCACGAACATCATGTGCTCGCGGGCCGCGCCCTTCAGGAGGATCTGCTGGGAGACTTTCTGGGGCAGGACCATGGTGGGCTCGTTCTGTGGCCTGTGGCGGACCGGCTCTCCTGACGACCCCCCACTGGGCTCAGCGTCCCCAGGGGTGGGGAGCGGTGGGGCACGGGGCGGGGCGGGGAGCGTCCAGCCCCCTGCGTGGGAGGAGCAGCGAGGCCACGCCCCCTGGGCTCTGGGAGCCGCACCTTCTCGAAGAGGACGACCTGCAGCCGGTCGGAGAAGTACAGGCTCTCGTGGTCCGGGCTGAAAGTCACGGTGAAGTCCTGCACCGCGCCAGGGTCCAAGATGCCCTCCACCGGGACCACGCTGAAGACGCTCTGGCCGCTGTGGTTCTGCGTGCCTGCGGGCCGGGCATGGCTGTCCCCGCGCCCCGCACCGGCCCCGGTCCCGCCCTGCCCCCCCCCCGCCCCCCCCCCCCCCCCGGCCCCGTCCAGAGCTCCCCCTTCCCCTGTCTGCCAGCTCACCCACGACGTCTGTCCGCTGGGTTGCCGAGGTGAGGAACCTCGGCAGCTGCTGCCGGTCCTCGTGCCGGGTGCTGGAGAGGCTGTCCAGCCGCATGGAGAACTTGATGGGCAGCGAGGAGTTGTTCTGCAGCTGCAGAGGTGCGGCCGTCAGCGCCTGGCCCACCGCAGCCGCGGGCTGCTGCCACGTCCGGCGGGCTCTGCTGCCCGCTTCCAGGCCTTTGTCCCCCGCCTTGCGGCGGGCCGCTCGTGGTGGCCTCCGACCCCGGGGCTCCCTGCGCAGCCAGGCCAGCCTTCCGCACGTCCTGCCCTGCCTCTTCCCCACCCTCCGCCCCTTCCCCGGAGAGCAGCGCCCTCTGCGGATGCTCCCCGGAGTCTGCCTTCTGGGCTCCGCTGCCAGGACCCGGCCTAAGTCTGACGAGCAAGCAGGTGTTCCTCCTGCCAGAGCACTGACCCCCCGAGGCCAGGGTGCCCGGGACGCAGGAGGGGCCTGGGAGCCAGGCCTGCCCACAGGGCAGTGTGAGTGGGCAGAGCAGGGAGCCTGCAAACGACCCACCCCCGCCACGCACTGGGCTCCTCCTCTGCCCAGAAGGGACTGCGCTGCAGAGACCTTGAGGCAGGAGGCCCGGCAGTGGAGAGAGCAGGGCGGGCGGCAGAGGTGGCCGCTGCTGGGGGGTGAGCTGTGCACCCCCGCTGGCTCTCCGACCAAGGCAAGGTGACCAGTCCCTCCAGGGCGGGGCCCCTCCCGGAAGGCCAGCACAGGCACCGGCCCGGCAGCTGCCTCACCTGGAAGGTGGAGGAGACAGACTCCCTGGCGATCACGTAGCCCATGTGGAGCACGTCCCCTTGGATGGAGCACGTGATCATGGAGGCCACGCCGGTGCCCATGAGGGTCAGGGAGAGCGTGCCTCTCTTGGTGATGATGTCCAGTGTTTCTTGGGCCTGCAGACAGCATGTCCCTCAGCATGGAGCAGACTGCGGTCAGGCACTGCGGGAGTGGCCGGGGCCGGGGGCCCTGCAGCTGAGGCTGCTCTGACCGCCCAGCTGCTCCCACTGCCGGGGAGGGGCAGGGCCCAGCCGGTGGAGCAGGCCCGAGCCCAGGGTGGCGGCAGGCAGGCAGCGCGGAGCGTGGGGCGCAGGGTGCCGGGCGGGCCGGGGCCTCACCAGCATGCTCTCCCGGGGAGAGAAGGACAGCACCAGCACGTGGGTCTCCCCCGCGGGCAGCCTGCTGATGGGGTTCAGCAGGACGAAGGGGCCATTGGGGTTCAGCACAGAGAAGTCCATCTGAGGGCCTGTTGTCAAGGAGACATGGGGAGGGCCGGGCCGCCGCCCCCCGCCCCGCCCCGCCCCGCCCCGCCCTGCCCCCAGGCCAGGAGCAGGCGCGGATACGGCCAGGTCCTCGGAGGTGATGTTCTGGATGGAAACCTTCTTTATGCCTCGGTGTCCTGAAAGGGGTTGGGACTCGGGCTGCAGCCTCAGGCCCGCGTGGGCGTGGGGCCCAGGTAGTGCCTGGGTCTGGGTTCCTGTGGGAGGGGGTGGGGCGCTGGGCCCAATCGGGACTCACCCACAGCGACTTCTCCGAAGTTGGAGACGGTCTTGCCCTTGTCAGAGGTCACTATGATGGACGGCGCCACTGCTGGACACCACAGCTCCAAGTAGAGGGTGTTGTGGGGACTGCAGGGGGCAGGGTGTGCTGAGGCGCGGTGCCCGCCCCCGCCCCCGCCGCCCGCCGCCCCCTCGCCCGGGCCCCGCCCGCCCCAGCCGCTGGGCCCCCCGTCTCAGGCCCTGGATCTGGGTGGGCGGCGGGAGAGGGACGGGGGCTCCGGGGCGGACCGCAGCCCGCCCGGCCAGGGGCGCCCCACCTGAAGCTCAGGGGCTCCGACCCCTTCCTGTCTTGGACGTCGCCGCTGGCAACGACACAGGGCACCACAAACTTGTCAAACTGCCCCTGGAACGATCTGGTCAGGGCGGCCCGGGCCACCTCGTACTCGTAACTGGAACGGAGCCGGCCAGTGGTGCCTGTGCTGAGCCCGACAAGGCCCCCCGGGCGCCCAGCAGGCCTCGCCTGCCCGCGCCCCACCCTCCCCGATTCCTGTGGGAGCTGCCCCGACCCAGAGCCCTGGTCGGGCGCCTGACCAGGGAGCTGTGCTCCTGGGGCCCCCGGAAGGGTCTGGGGCTGGCGGGAGACTCCGGGCCACCTGAGCTCTCGGGGGCTCACTCTCCACCCAGGCAGGCCGGGGCTGTGGGTGTCGGGTGGCAGCGTCTCCCCCAGCCCATGCGGCGAGCCTCTCCACAGGGACACCGGCCCAGGGGAGCGGGCGGGGGGCACGTGCCCAGGAAGAGCCCGAGGGGCCTCGGGGCGGCTCCTGGATCCAGCCGTTCCTGACGTCAGCCCCACCCCAGGCCCCAGCGCGGTTCGGAGCACCCTGGGCAGCCTGCGGGGCCCGCTGTCCCACCGGAGGAGCCCACCTCCTTGGCAGCCTCCTTGGCGCCCACCTGAACTTGAGGTCCTGCTTCTGCAGCTCCAGGGCGAGGGAGGTGGAGGCCCGGAAGAGCCGGTCTCGGTACTGCCCCCGCTGCACCGCCAGGGACTGTCTCCGTAGGTCCCTCCTTGGGGTGGCCGTGTCCTTGCGGAGCTGCTGGTGAGAGGCTGGCTATGGACGCACCCAGCGCTCAGGCCTGGGGTGCGCGGGGTGCGCGGGGCCGCTGGGGACCCCGGCCGCAGGCGGCTCCCCAGGACGGCGGGCAGCAGGGGCCGGGGCAGCGATGACCAGGGGCGTCCAGGAGGGGCGGGCCCCAGGGCGCTGACTCCAGTGCCCGCCTCCGTCCGCAGGGAAGCCGGGGCACTGGGGAGTGCGCGGCAGCCCCCCCGCCCCGCCCCCCGCCCCAGGCAGCTCGGGCGCCCCTTCGGACTCCCTCGCGGCGGGAGTCCACCTGCAGCCGCCAGGGCGGCCTCTGTAGGCTGCCGGGCGGGACCGTCCCGTCCGCCTCTCTAGTTCGCAGTCTTAGGCCGGCTGGCGGCGCCGCTGGACGCTGGCTCCTCTGCTGTGCCGCCTGTTCCCCCTGCCGTCCACGCGCGAAGGGGAAGCCTCACCTGCTCCCGAGCCTCCCTCTGGGCGGCCCTGCCTGGTGATGCTTCCAGGAGAGGAGGGAGGGGCCTCCCGAGAAAAAGCTGTGACCTCTGGGGACATCCCGGGGCGGGGCAGGGGAGGGGGTGTCTTTCGGGGGCCTTTGTGCAGGAAGCCGCCGCCCCTCCCATACTCCCCACACACCAGCTTGATCTCCCCGTCTTTGGTCAGGGCCTGGATGGCGTGCTGGCGGATCAGCTCGCTGGACAGCACGGGCCGGAAGGCCACCTGGACCAGGCACCTCTGTGGGGAGAGGGCCGGGGGGTCCTTCTAGCGCCCGCCCAGCTGAGAGCCCGCTGCCCCCAGCTCCCCTGCGCCCCTTCCCCGGCGGGGCTGGCGCTCGGGCCTGGGTCTCCGTCTGTTCTTGGGGATTTCAGCTTCGTGTGCCCCCCCCAGGAGGGCCTCCCTGACCGCGCCCCCCAGAGGTTGGGCTGGGCTGCAGCGTGTGCTCACCAGGCCCGTCCTGCCTGTGAGGGTGGGGCCCGTGAAGGAGGCCTGGACGCCCAGGAGCCCGGACGGCCCACAAAGCCCGAGGGAGGAAGGAAACTCCACTCTCAACCTCTGAGATTTGGGGGCGAGGCCTGCACCCGGCCTGCCTGACCGGCGCCGCGGCCCTTCCAAAGCTCCCTGTGGGCTCACGGGGCCCCCAGGGGCAAAGGCGCGCCACGCGTGTTGGGGGGGCTGAGGCGTGCGTGGGGCCGCGAGGGAGAGAGGCAGGGACGGGAGGTGGAGAAAGCGAGGGAGAGAGGCCGGCAGGGGACAGAGGGGGCGCAGAGATGACCCTGTGGAGCCCACTGCTTCAGCAGCGTTTGCAGAATGTGATGAAGTGCGTTTCAAATAACCCCGCTGATCGAAACCCCGGGGGCCCTCCGACCCCCAGAACCTCCGCGTGCCCCCCACGCAGTCCTGCCAGCGGGTCTCAGTGCCGTTGCCCCAGCTCTCGGGGGTCATGGAGGCCACGAGCGAAGCTCAGAGAGGCTGCGTCGGCCTGGGGGGCACGCGGACTGGGGGCCCCCTCAGGAGAAGCCGAGTGGGGGCCCCGAGTCCATTGAGGCGAAAGACGCCCTGTGCCCCTGGCGACTGGGCCTGTGCGCCCCCCGCTCTGCGGTCCCTGGACGGCACACCCCCCGAGGGCTCCGCCCCCGCCTGGACGGCCGGGCCTCTCCCCTGCCGCGGCGGCCGGCCTGCTGGGTCCCGGCGCGGGCAGAGCGGACCCAGCCCTGCTGTGGCGCCGGCGCCCCCCGCGGGGCCCGCACCCACCTTCCCCGGCAGCACGGTCCCCACGGAGGGCGAGATGGTGATCGGCGAGCCCGGGGGCAGCAGGAACTCGAAGGACGTGGGCCCCGTGGGACGGGCGTCCCCGGAGCCCGCCCCGGGCGCAGGGTGTGTCCGCGAGTTCGCGCCCGGGTGCGGGTTGGTGACGTACAGGGTGGCCACGGACGTGTCGTACAAGGAGGTGGCTGCGAACTTGACCTGGTGGTGGGACAGCTGCAGGGGCGGCTGGACGCCCACGGCCCGGCACGTCAGCTTGAAGCGCCTGCAAGTGGCCGGTGCAGGCAGGTCCGCGCGGGCGCCTGGCTGCGGGGCGTGGGGGGCGCCGAGCAGGCCAAGCCCAGCCCCTGCGGGCGGGCGCCCGGGGCCCTGAGGGCCGCTGTCCCCCACAGAACAAGCAAATGAACAGAAAACCCCACGTATCCCCGGGGGAGGCTGCAAGAACAGGAAGCAGGCAAATCGCCCCCGAAGTCCAAGCGCAGGAGTCCGCGCGCCGCGGCCAGCGAGCCCCCCCACTGCCCATCACGAAGAGGGACCGGCCGGCGCCGCTGGGCGTCGACCCTGCGTGTCTCCTTTGAGCTCCTGCCCCCGCCGCGCCCTCCGCGGGGTTTCCTCCCCGTCGCGTGCCGTGCTCAGTGCTTTCAGGTGGTGTGACCCACCCTGCCACCCTTGTCTGTGACCAAAAGGTGTCCGTCCACACGCTGAAATGCTGTTCCAAGATAGGTTTTAAAAATCCGCACCCTGGCTGCATGTACTGATTTGAGAGAAACAGCGACGTGAGGAACGCAGATTGGCTGCCCCCCGTGCGCCCCAGCGGAGGGTGGACCCCGCAGCCCAGGGCTGTGCCCGGCCTGGGGAGCGGACCTACAGCCCTTCGGTGCGTGGGCCGGCGCTCCGACCGACAGACCTGCCCGGCCAGGGCTCAGAGCAGGGTTTTCTGTGCTGCGGCCACAGGCTCCCGTATCTTTGAAGTTACTGTTACCGCTCAATTAACCGAGAAGCATCGAGGAGGCGTAACGATCACCACGTTTAATGTCACCATGCTCAGGAAGGTGGGCAGAGCTGTTGTTTCCCAGTTGGTTTGGATCCCCATGACTGACGCGGGGCCTCTCGCCTCTCCCTGGGGCAGGAACGGGGACGCCCCCCAGCGCCACTCAACCCTGTGAACCCCGCCACTTCGTACGCCGAGAGCTCGCGCGCCGCCTGCCCCCCACGCTGTGTTGGGCCACGCTCCTCCGGCACCTCAGGCAGGTCCCGTGTCACTTTGTGGCCGGGAAGGCACGGCAGCGCGCGCCCGCGGGGGGCTGCGTCACAGAGCCCAGCTGGGCTCCCTGCGGCCCAGAGGCAGCAGGCGTGACGCAGGACCTCGAGGACAGACTGGGGGCCGTTCCTTGTCGTCCCAGGACACACTGTTGATGCCACATTTGCTGATAAAACGCTTCTATTGCAGCAGGCATTTAAGATGTCTGTTCCTGCCCTGCACCGCTGAGGTCAGACGCAGTCCCCCACCCTGACCCCATGCGGCGACACTCTCCGCCTAACCTCCGAGGCGGAGCCGGTGGGGCCGCTGCCCTCGGTCAGAGCAGCCCCGGCCTCGTCCGTTCTCGCGGGCGGCTGATGGCCGATGGCCGTGGCCGAGGCCCCGAGGACCCATGGGCGCGGCGTGGCAGCAGCCTGGCTGGCCCGGAGCCCGCCTCCGACCCCCCGGGGCCCGCCCCTCCCCCGCGGCACCCTGCGCAGGTGGCCAGGTCTCCTTCCTTCCGTCCTCCGGGAGGTTTGTGTCGGCCACCTGCTCTCTGCATCGTGGGAAGCTTTTAAACTTTGGACTTGATTTCCTTGGGAGATGTTCAGCTATTTGGATTTTCCATCTTTTTCTTCTTTGGCAAGTTGTGTTTTCTGAGAGACGTGTCGACTTCATCCAAATCGTCCCAGCAACTGGTATGAGGCTGTTCATGACGTTCCCGTCTCCCCGCGTCCATGGGGTCTGTGGTGACGTCACCTTTCATCCCCGAGACCGGTGACTTGTGATTCCTCTCTTTTCACTTTAATTGGTCTTGCTTAGAGTAATGAATTTACTAATCTTTACAGAAAAAGACAGTTTTGTTGCTTTCCTGTTGAACACGTGATTTTTGTTTCACCGATTCCCATTCGTTACGTCTTTCCTTCTCATTTCTTTGGGTTAATTTGCTATGCTCTTTTCCTAATTGTTTTTAAGAGACTTTATTTGCAACACTTATTTTCAGAGCTAGGGGAGGGCCCTGGCCGGCGTGGCTTGGGGGCTGGGTGTCCGTGGCAAGTCGGAGGGCCGTGGGTTCGTTCCCGGCCAGGGCGCCTTCCTGGGTTGCGGGCCAGGCCCCTGGTTGGGGGTGTGCAAGACAAGCATCCACAGGCTGCCCCACCCACGCAGGCCCGGCCGGGGACTGACCCGCAATGAGTGACCAGCGACCTGTGGCTTTGCTGGCAGTGCCTGACCAACGGAGCCACATCGGTCGGGGCCTAAGTTTTAAAAGAAAAGGCTGGATTGTGGATTTTCAAACGCCCTTCTTTGTATGTGTTTGGAGCTAGGACTTTCCTGCTAAACTGCTTTTGATGACTCTCAAGCCCTCAAACTTAACATCCAGATCGAGCCCTTAGATGTGCCAACGTGGATCAATGACAAAAACGTAAAGTTGGAGGAAAACCTAAAAACAAAACGTGCATCAATGCGTGGAGGATGAGACCGCGGGGGGGCGGGGTGGCCCTGGGGCTGGCGCGGAGGTCCCGCATCCGCGAAGCCGGCGCCCAAGCAAGACGGGAGGGTGCAGAGCTTTCCAGCACGTCACGCACACGCCCTGCAGAGGGCGCTCGAGAGCCACGGAGGGAGACCGGCTGCAGTCCGGGCCCCTCCTGAAATTTCGGAACTGCCTGCCCGCGAGGAGACCACACAGAGTAACCGAGATCAGGAGTAGAGGTTTTAGACAAAGAGTGTAGGGAGCAAATCACATTTATTTGGATAACACAACCTGCCGCAGCGGCTGCGCGCAGGAGGGATGCGGCGGTGTAAGAACGCACAGGGGGCCGAGCGGACGCCGGCGCCAGGCGACGGGAGGCGCGGTCAGAGCCCAGGGAAACAGCGCCGTTGGAGGCAGTAACTCAGAGCGGGGAACCGGCCGGGGGCCGGGGGCCGGGAACAGGCAACGCAGCGGGTCCCCTGAGACTGAGAAGGGGAGGGAGGAAGGCGAGGCGCTTGAAAGGCAAAGGAGCCAAGAGAAGCCACGAGGAGGCAGCGCCAGTGGGGAAGGAGCAAAGGAGACCCGCCAACGGCCGCAGCCCAGAGGAACCAGAGCTGGCAGCGAAGACAAAACCCAAGGGAACGTGCCCGAAGCAAAGATTTGAGACACGCTGTGCACCCAGGAAAATCCGTCCGGGACAACCAACACGAACATGTGTTTTTATGAAGTCGTGGGGTTGCGACTTCATAAAATAAGAAGACATAGGTCCCTCAGGCACCAAGGGAAAAAGTAACTCAGGCTGCTGTCAGACTCCGCAGACTTTTTTTAAAATTGTTGTTTTAAAAATCCTCACCCGAGGATACATTTCTTGATTTGAGAGCGGGGGGAAGGGAGGGGGAGGGAGGGAGGGAGATCCGTCAGTTGCCTCCCTGATGCACCCTGAGCCAGGACTGAACCCACAACCTCACCGGTTGATCTCGGACTTGCAGACGAGCTCGAAGCTGTAGGCCTTGGCCCGGGTGGGCTGGAAGATCAGGTCGAACTCCAGCGTCTCCAGCGGCAGGATGGTCCCAAACCCGTCGTTGGGCTGGATGTCCACACACTGCACACGGAACACCGGGGGCACCTCGGTGACAACACGGTCCGCTGCTGGGGAGTGTCACGGGGACTGTGGGGACACACGTGCAGCCGGGCCGTGGCAGTGTGTGGCATGTGGGTGTTTAGTGTGTAAGCATGTGTATGCGTGCAAGCCCATGAGTGTACGTGTCTGTATTAATGTTTCTGTCTGTGAGTGCATGCGCATTGGAGTGTATGTGCATGTCTACACGTGAGCATGCATGAGTGCACACGTGTGAGCATGCCTATGAGCCTGTGCCTGCACGTGTCAGTGTGCGTGAGCACACACGTGTGCTGAGAATGGGCGGCAGGGTCCGCAGCGGGTGGAGGCTGCGTCCTGGCCACCCTGCAGGACCGGGCAGGCGAGAGGTCCAGCGGAAGGGAGGGCAGAGGAGCCTGGGGTCCCGCGGGGCTGCGGGCCGGAGGGAAGGAGCGAGGGAGGGAGGGGCAGAGAAGGGCCGGGTGAGGCCGCGACCAGGGCAACAGGCGTGAAGCGAGGGCTGGGCAGAGGGACCGGAGGTGGGCACAGCGTGCGCGAGGGCCGGCCGCCGCCCGCCCTGCTGGCCCGAGGCACCTTGGGGAGGCCGACGAACCCAAACTCCTGGGGCAGGAGGGAGTGGTTGTAGAGGCTGATGGGCGCCCTGACAGCTTCATAGACGGTGCAGTAGCCGAAGTCCACCTCCGAGGGGCTCAGCTCCAAGTCCGAGGTGGTGACTATGGCGTGGACGGTGAACTCCACTGGTCTGATCTGAAGCGCAGAGGGCGAGCACGTCTCTGGTCACATACAGGTTTTACAACTGTTTCCAAAAACGAGCGCGGCACAAGCACCGCTGTGGCCCTGGCACACCCTCTCACGGACACGATCCTCCCCTTGGAAGAGCCCGCTCGCCTGTCGCCCCTGGACTTGGAAGGACTGGAAGCAACTGCCACAGAGAGGCGCTCGGCGGGGGGGTGGGGGCAGGGGCGCGTGAGTGAGCACATGAGCACAGGATCGCACGGCTCGTCTGAGAGTGACGAGGGTCGTGTGCACGGGTGTGAGCGGGCGTGCCTGTGAGTGAGTGGCGCACAGCGGCTGGGTGCAGGGGACCCTGGGCCGCACCCAGAACCTCTGATCCGCGACCCTCTCCCCTGCTGAATCTCAACTGTGCAGGGGCCTCTGGGGCAGGCGGCAGATCGGCAGGCCAGGCCCCTGGAACCAGAGCCCCGTGCCAGAGCACCCCCTGCCCCCCAAGGGCACCAGCATCTCCAGGAGCCCCCACAGACCTGGTCGGCTACCCGTATGACCATTGGGGCTTCCAGGACTCTGCTCTCTTTGTCAAAATACTGGCCCGCGTCCTCGGGGAGGGAGTGTCTGGAAGGGACGGCAGGTGCTCGCAGGCACTTTTCTTGCTTATATTTTGCAAAACAGCGAAACCGACCACGGTGTGCTCTTCAATCACACAATTAGCCCTGGCCGGGCGGGCCCGTGGCCGGGAGTGTTGCCCTGGCCGGCCAAGGCTGCAGGTTCAATCCCCGGTCAGGGCACAGACCAGCAGCAACCAGTGACATGTCCACACGTGGGACAACGAACTGATGTTTCTCCCCACTGCCAACGTTCTCTCTCTCTCTCTCAAATCAATGAATTAAAAAATCCCACAAAAGCTACAAAAGACCCGTGGCACCAGCCTCCCGTTCTCTGCGCCAGGACCCCTCCCGGGGAGCGTGCCGTGCCCCCTGCCCCCGCCCACCCCGCGCCCCACCCACCCCGGCTCACCGCGGCAGGAACTTCAGCTGCACCGAGAAGGACGACAGGGCCTGGATGTAGCCCGTCTCTGGCAGCAGCTCCATGTGGCCCCTGAGCTCCTTGCACACCTCGAACTTCAGGCGAAGGGCTGCTTTCGACCTGCAGCGTGTGAGGGGCACAGGGGCATTTAACCGCCTGCAGGACTGGCCGCTTCCACCCACCCCGCCAGCCAGGGTGCTCGGCACCCCCCACCAGGCTGCGCTGCAACGGGAAGAGCAGGGACACCCGCGCCCGCTCCTTAGGGGCCGGCTTTCCTGCAATGAGATCTGATGGGGATTCTTATAAATGGAAACACCGTGACGGGAACGGCCCCGTCGGTCCTCAGAAACCGGAGCGCTTTCTGGGAAGACCCCGTGCTGGCAGGCGCCGGGTGCGAAGGCCGGGTGGGGTCTGGGGTCAGAGGGGGCTGGGGGGGGGTGTTCGGAGGTGGGGCCCCCGCCTGACCGGCTCCTGCCCTCGTCCCACCCAGGCACAGTCTGGGACAGGCTGGGCCCCGCGTGCCCGCCCGCCGGCCTGCCCCCAGCACGAGCTCCCCAGGGTGCCCGGCGGCCGCTGGGCGGCTAGGCCCGGTCAGTGGCCGCAGCTCCTGTCGGCGCTGCCCCTGCTCCCGGCTCGGGGCAGCCAGAGGAGCTGTGGGCACCGCGCTCCGCGATGTCGTCTCCCCCGCCAGGGCCCCCGGGGCTCCTCCTGCCCAAGAAGCTCCCTCCCCTGCCGCCCTGAGTCTCTGCCAGACCCAGTGACGCGTCCGACCCCTCGCCACACGGCCGGATCTCTGTTCATGCCGCAGGTGGGGGGATCTGGAAGCCACAGGAAGGCAGGTGGCGGCTGCCCAGGGGGTGGGGGGGGCTGTTTCCGGATCCGCCTGGGAACCGCGGGGCGCGGGCCAGAGCCTCGGAGGCGTCCCCGGGAGCTGCCCGCCCGCCCGCCCCGGGGCTGGCGGGGCCTGCGTCCAGCCCCGGCCCTGGGTCCGCCCGCGGCAGGGCGGGACAGGCGAGCACACTCGGGGGGCCGCGCTCACCGCGTGTGCACGAGGATGGAGTCCTGGTACAGCCGGTCGTACATGCATATCTTCAGGTCCACATCAGGCTTCGGCACCCAGACCGGCACGTCGATCGCAACGCCGATGACTTCGAAATGCAACTGGAGTCAAACGTGTGCGTTTAGCAACGTGCACTTGCACCAGCAAAGCGGTGTTTACAAAGAGCTCAGCAGGACGGATTTTGTAACTAGCGTTAGTGGCTAAGCCGGCCACGTTTCAGAGTTCCACAGCACTTTCCACAGTGTGTGATTACGAAAACCTTTCCTACTATAAAAATTTTCTGACAAAGAAGGGAGGGTTTGTGACTGCCCCGCGTCCACCACGCAGCTTCCAAACGGCCGACACGTCAGCCGTTTGAGAAATGCTTTTGCTGCGGAGTCACGCGTTGCCCAGACAGGGGGACACGTCACGAAACCTTCGCAACTAAATCATGACGGAAGCCTGCAGACTTGAGGGGACCCGGGAAGAGAAGGGTGTCGCCGCCCCCGCCAGGGAGCCCCCGGCCTTGGGAGGCGGGGCTCGTGGGTGTCCTGTGGGCTGGCCTCTTGCCTGGCAGCCCCTCAGGCCGGGGGGCGACTGCTCCCTCCAGACGCCAGGACTGACGGGGGGCACGAAACGGGGACCGCCCTGCCACCGATGACCTGCCGTCCCATGACACTTGGACGATGTCAGCCGCCAGATCAAGGCCTCAGGGGGGCAGTTTCTGGGGCCAGGAACAAACGATCCCTCAGAATAAACGGAAAACACGCCCGCGAGGGTGGAGCTTCTGGGAGCCAGGAGTCCGCGTCCCTAGGGCGGGCTGTGCTGGTCTGCGGCCGCCGCTGGAGGGGCCTTGTTGGCCCAGGGGCAGCGCCTACCCTGCTCCCTTGGGGGACCATTAGGAAGCCCTTGGCAGTGGCCAGGAGAGCAGGTGACAAGGTGACATGTGACATGCCAGGCTAAAGAAAGACCCGAGGCTTGGAGGACAGGGAGGGAAACTCTGGAGGGTCCATGAGGCAGATGGGCAGCAGCAACGGGGGCCCCGCCCACACAGGAGTCCAGCCAGGGCGGGAAAGATGGGCAGATCTGGGCGTGTCCTGGTGACGCGAGGGGACGGGCCGGCCGGCCGTGGGCGGCGTCCTCAGAGCCAGAGGGGCGGGCAGGACCCAGCTCGCGAAGACCGGCAGGCGCGCTCAGAATCCAGGCCCTGCCCCGGGCCAGGCTGCGTGCGGGCGCTGTGAGCGGTGCGGGCGCCGGGCCGTGGCGCGGCCTGCAGCACTCGCTGCCGCGGCCCAGAGCCAGCAGGGGCCTCGGGGGCGGGGGGCGGGGCGGCGCGGCCGGAGGGGAGGCGAGGGACTCTCGCGACAGCTGAGTGAGACCAGGAGTCCGGGGCCAAGAAAGCGGGAAGTAAGAGGGGGCCCGAGGTGCGTTTGACTTTGGTCCTGAGAGGCGCGGGGGGAGCCCCGCTGGGGACACGGCCTGTCCTGGGGTTGTCCTCCTTCCAGCTACGAAACAGACCCTTAAGAGAGCCTTGCGGGCTGGGAAGGGAGGGCTGGCCGTGGAACGCAAGACATTTCCAACTCATGAGATAAAATGCAATAAACAGCACCTTGAGCGAACCAGTGAAAACCAAGAAACTGACAGAGGAAAAAATGAGGTAAAATCAACGCCAAACCCGAGGGGAGGAGCGGGACCCAGTGCATGCTCCCCGGGGCCAGCAGACAAATGGGGTTCCTTCAAAGATGCTAAATGCTGGAAAGACAGGGCGGCCGTGCCCGGGAAGCAAATGCCGGCGGGACAGCGGGCCCGGCCCGGCCCCCACGCTCGGGCGGCTGGAAGGTCAGGCGACGAGAGCCCTCGTGCGCCGGCAGCGACGCAGCACGGGACGGCCCCCGCGGAAACGAGGAAGGACCGCCCGCGAAACCACGGCCGCGAGGGACGGCCAGGGCGGGGCCCGGCGGCAAGCACACGGCTGCCCACGCACACGTCGCCACACTCAGCCTCGCCTTCGGCTTCAGCCACGCAGGAGGCTTTAGCGAGAGTCCGCGGGCGTCACCTGAGCATAACTTCATAGACTTGTACAAAATAAGCGACGGAAAGTAATGAGTAAAAAGCTCCCCACGAAACGGAGAAAGGCACTTCCAGCGATGAAGAGCAAGGGCCGTGCGTGCACGGACGTGTGTGCACTTGTGTGTAGGAGCGTGCATGCGTGGACGTGTGTGTGGGGTGCATGGACGTGTGTCACGGCTCGCTCCCGGCGCCAGCGGTCCAGGCGTGGCAGACACGGGCGGCCGCCCCGGGCGGCTGTGCTGCGCGGACGGCGTGTGTGGAACAGCTGCAGCACGCTCACCGTTGGGCACTGCCGGTTCTTGAACATGACCTTGAACTTGGCCTGGACGGCTCCAGGGGTGACTGGGGAGAAGGTGATGGGCACTTTGACGGAGCTGAAGGGGCCGATCTCGCCCTCGGTGACCTGCGTGGGAAGACACGTGTCACAGGGCCCGTCGGCTTCCCTTTTCCACACAGGCCTCCCCGACCGTCCCCACCACAGGCTGTGTCCCCCGGAGGGTGAGCGATGGCAGGACCCACGTGCCTGCATCGTCCTCTGGGCCACACAGACACGGGCCCTACGAGGACGTGCGGCCCCGGACCCCGGCTGAGGGAGGGGAGGGGCGGGGCGGGCTGCACGCCCGCCGCCAGCACGCGCCCCTCGGCTCGGCAGGCCCTGCGCCCAGAAATCGTCCCCGGCCGCTCCGGTGCTGCCAGGCCGAGCTTGGCACGGGCGGCCGGGCGGGGTTCAGACTGCAGGCTGCCCGGGGGAGTCAAGCCCAGTGGCCAAGCAAGTCTAGTCCGGCTCGGGTCCCACGGAAGGGCCAGCTGGGGAAGGGGGCAGTGGACCGGGAGGGCGCGGCCGGAGGAAGGTGGGCTGTGGGCAGGCGGGCCGCACTCACGTCCCCCAGCGAGATCTCCCCCTGTTCACCGTTGGAGAACGTGATGGCCGCCACTCCCTCTGACTCTGGAAGAGAAGGCTCTTCAGACGGGAGGACTGGCTGGGCAGGGCGGGGGCAGCTCCGCCCAGATTCACCGGAGCCATGGCCAACCCCCCCCCCAAAGCCAGGGAGCCCACAGGGAGGGCCTCGTCCTCGCAGGCCTCCTGCTGCTCTGGGCATGTGGGGGCCCACGCTTGCGAGCAGGGAATGGGCGGGAGGGGGTTTGCCCAAAGCCCCCATGAGGGGAGGGCGGGGCAGCGGCCTGAGCGGGGAGCGCGCACCCCGGTCGGCCTGTGCGGCTTACTTTCCAGCAGGAGGAGGGGACATGGGCTCAAAGGTGGGGCCTGTGTTAAAATGAGGAAACAGCAAAATGCCTGTCAGTGGGCATGGCCGGGGGAGGGGCGGCTGGGGCAGGGGGAGGAGTGGCCGCAGGGGCGGCTCCCGGCAGGGGAGCAGCGCCCCCGCCCCCCGCCTTCTGGGGGGAGCCCCTCCCGACGCCCGCCATTTTCTGGTGACCTGGTGGAGCGCCCGCACTGCGAAGTCTTGAACACTTCTAAACCAGATTGTCTTTCAAGGAGTTTTATAATCAAATTTCATAGCCTAATTTTTCACGGCAACTCTTCTGTGTGCATGCGGCTGGTCTTCTCCAATTTTCTCAGCCCATGGGTGGGCTGCCAACTCTGACCCGCCCCTTGGGGTTCAAGGGGGCACCCCAAGAACCAGCATGCCATTTATCAGGAAGGCCTGAAAACAGAGGCTGTTCCCTCTCTTCCGAGGAGGGTTTCTGCTGACTGCACGTGGACAGACGCGGCTGGACGGGCCAGGCCCAGGGCAGCGTCCTTTCCAAGCCACTGTCGGCCCCGCTGCGTCACCGCAGCCAGCCCCGGGCTCTGCGCCCAGGACTCCCCCTGCGGCCGGATTATTACCCCCAGGGCTGTGCCCCGCTTCTGGGGCTGAGCTGTGAAGGCAGCGGGGCTCCTAAAACTTGGCGGCTTGTCACCTGGCCCTGAGGCCACAGCTGTCACCTGGGACGGGGAAGGTGGCTGCGGGGGGGGGGGGTGGCCACCAGGACAGCCCAGGCCCGAGCTGGGGCCGTGGCTTCGCCGGCGGGGGCGGGGCCCCCGTGTCGGCCCATTCGTGGAGAACACGGTGCGTTCTCCTAAGTGCTAGAGCTGGGCCCCGCGGTGACTCGGCAAGTTTTCTTTGATTCTGTGTCCAGTGTCTCTGCTCCAGGCGCCTGCCTCATTCTGTCAGGCGGAATATTGACTCACTTCCCGAGTGTGAGTGCGCGGTGTTCCGACGTTTTCGGAAACGCTTGGCGAGCATCTCTGCGCTCTGCCTCTTCCTGACTCCTGCAGGCAAGTGTGATCTCGCTCTGTCTTCCATGGCTCATGCCATTTCTTCCGTGTTTCCACCTGTCTCTCGGTCCGCATTTGGACATGGTCTCTGGGTCTGTCTTCCAGTTCACTAATTCTCTCTTCGGCAATGTCTAATCTCCAGTTTACGCACTGACTGGGTTTCATTTTCAAGGACCATATTCTTACTTCTGGAAGTTTTATTTGGTGGATTGTCCAAATCTACTTGATCTCACTCTTTCGGGATGTATTTTCATGTCGGAAGCAGCCCCACCTACCCCCAAACCCTGCGATCACGCCGCATGTTTGTGCAATGGACAGGCCTGGGGACACGGCCCCTCTGGCAAGGTGGCCAGCGATGGCTCCGGAAGGGCGTGGCTCCCTGTTTTGGAACCACTTTGGAGACCAGGGCACTCATCAGTATGAAAAGCAGCAGAGACTAAACTGCCGGAAAAGGAGATGAAAAGAAAAAAGGCAGAACCAACAGAAAGCACAAAATAAGATGGAGGGAAATAAATGCAAATATACAAGAGGGGACCCAAAAAACAATTTAGTTATAAAAATTTGTGTATTTTACTTTGGTCACCCTCACAGTCCTCTCCACCTGAGGCCGCCCACCCATCGAGACTTTTTTATCCACTGCTCAAAACAGCTTTTGAATGCACCAATTTTTATACTTTTTAGTGCCTCTGCCATCATTTTGTCTCACCTCCTCCACATCAGCAACGCGTTTTTCTTTGAGGACGTCTCATCCAGGGAACCAAAGAACAAGCTGCTTGAGGAGAGATGGGGTGAATGGGAAGGGTGGGGCACGGGGGTGACGCCGCTTTTGGTAAAAAAAAAAAACAACGGATCGCTCAGCGCGGTGCCAGCAGATGCCCTCAGAAACCACCCTTCATGAAACGGGAGAGCACGCGGAGTCTCAAAAAGATTTCCCTGGAGCCGCACGCGGCCTCTCCCAACAACGCCGGCGGGCGCGCGGACCCAGACGGGTGGCTGGGACACTTGCCCATGGGGAGGCACGCAGAGCAAGGGGCCCGCCCTCCAGAGGACAATTCCGTTTTTTAGGGGGGTCCCTTCTCTTACTGAGAGTTGCAATAAATGGAAATAGGTTACACTCTCTGGGAAAAGTCAAAGACCCTGAGACTGTGTAAGCCAACCAAAAACGTCCAGGATCTCTGGGCTGTCAACCAGCGGTTCTCAATCCTTTCCATCTCACGGCACACAAACGCATTACCAAAATTCTGTGGCACACCAAAAAATAGATTTTTGGTTGATCTGACAAACATACAGGTATAATTTTGATTCATTCGCATCAGATGGCTATTGAGTTGGCTATTGCCATTTTCTTGTTTGACAGTTTGAGGGAAAAAGGTGAACGCCCCTGACTCAATAGGCGGGTGTTGCATGTTTTAAAATTCTTGCAGTGCGCGCTGGTGTAAAATCACTGCTGTAAACTGCAAAACATTCCTGGGGGGAGGGAAAAGAGGCGGCTTCAGTAAACGGGGGTGTGTGCCACATGCGAGGCTCGAAATAGCGCTGTTAAGATGTTGGTTCTCCCCAACACAGTCCATGGGTTCAATGCTATGACAGTCACACCATCGATTTTTTTTTTGGTAGAAATCCAAACCCTATTTCCAACCCTGACCGGTGTGGCTCAGTGGGTTGGGCGTTGTCCTGCAAACTGAAAGGTCACTGGTTCAATTCGCAGGCGCGGTCCAGGCCCGAGTTGTGGGTTCAGTCCCCTGTCACGGTGCGTTCGAGAGGCAACCCATCGATGTTTCTCTCCCTCTCTTTCTCCCTCCCTTCCCTTCTCTAAAAATAAATAAATAAAATCTTTAAAAACAAAGAACCTAAACCCCCGGAAGTTCCGCTCTGTCCAGCCCTGGGCCCTGAGCTGCGCATCAGAGCCTCGTGGGGCCGGGCGGGGCCGGGGGGCTCCGGCGGGGCTGCCCCGGGGCCTCCGGTCCCCAGCTCACCTGCGGGGCGCCCCTCGTCTTCTTCCCTCGGGCGCCCCTGGTCTGGCTCTTTCTGGCTGAGCACGTCCCACTGGGAGGACATGACTTCCAACTGCTGCTCCCAGACACTGGAGGTGCCTTTCTCACAAAATTTGTCTTCGTCCGTGAAGATGCTGCTCTAAAAGGAGAACGTGACCCCTTTGTTGCCACTGTCCACCTGCCTTCCTCACTCAGCTGCCTGGACTCCCTGTCACCAGGAGGGCCACGCGGGCTGGCGGCTGCTGACTCCAGCCTGTCGATGCCCCCGCCGCCTGGCGGCGCCCGCCCTGCCCGCGCCGCCCCGGGCCCGCGCAGGCTCCTGCTCTCCTCCCGAGCGGGGCGGCCCCTGCAGGCGCCCGCTCGGCACTCTCCTGGCCGCGGTCCAGCTGCAGGCCCGGGGCGGTCCAGCCCCGCCTCTGCTCCCGGGGGTCGCTGCTGCCCGGTCCCTGTGCCGGCAGCAGAGGTGCAGCGCTGCCCGCGTGCGGCTCAGGGGCTGCAGGGGGATCGACAGGCAGGACACTGCTCGGGCAGAGCCGCCGTCCAGGCTGACTCTCGCCAGAAGGACACAGGGCCAGTGTCCGAATGGGGCCCCACGGGGCCTGGGCCCCGGTCCCCACCCGGCAAGCCTGGCCTTGTGACCCCCCTGCCCGCCCCCTTCCCCACCACCCCCGGCCCCTCCAACCTCTGCTGCAGCGGCCGCCCCGACCGTCGCCCGGAGGCCCCCGCTCTGCCCCTCCGAGGGGGCAACTCGTCGGGGGCCTTTGCCGAGAGCCCTCAAGGCGGCAGACACAGCTGCAGAGCGAGAGCTCAGTGCTGCGCGTGGGGACGTGCCCACCAACTTGGACGTGTTTTAAAAAGGCAAAGTCCCGCTCCCCCGAGGCCTCAGGGGGTGCTGGGAGCCGTCTGCAGGGCCCGCTGGCTCGCCCGCCGCGCAGCCTCTGGGGCTGGGGGGGCGCCTGGCGAGCGGGGCCCGTGGGGCTCACGGGCCTGGAGGCCCCGGCCCCGTCACCACATGCTCGAGGGGGGACGGCCCTGCGGCCACTGCCCTTGCGGCCTGGCCGCCCCTGGGGTCCTCCTCGCGAGGCCAGCCCCCCGACTTGGGGCGTCCCGCTCCCCACCCCCCAACCCGGGTGGTCAGCCGCTGGGCGGCGCTGTCTGCCGCCCGGGCAGGGGGACACTCACGAGCTTCAGGACCGACGGGGAGATGTCTATCTCGCAGGACTCGGAGGCCGGGAGGACCCTGAACCTGGTGCCCAAGCCCCCGGTGTTGGTCAGCGTGACGGACCGGGACGCGGTCTCCCCCACCACGTAGCTGCCGAAGTCGATGAGCTCCTTGTCCAGGGACAGCTGCCGACAGACACCGAGTGAGCCGGGCGCGGTGCAGGGCGGCAGCAAGGTCCCCCGCCCCCCCGTCACCCCGAGCCCGGAGGGCACGCGGAGCCCTGCCTGCCCCCGGTGGGGCTGCGCCCGGCTCCCGGCAGGACAGGCAGGGTCCGCACAGCCCGGGGACAGCAGAAACCAAGAAAGGTCTCACGTCAGCGCCTCGCTGACGCCCTAAGAAACCGGGCAAGAGGAAGGAACTGAACCCAAAGCTCCCGGAGGGAAGGAGACGACACAGATGAGAACAGAGAAACGAGACAGAGGACAGAAAAGCCACCGAGAAAATGAAGGAAAAGGTCAACAAAACCGACAAACCTTTACCCAGGTGGACTGAGAATGGAAGACTTGAATTAAAATCAGAAATGAAAGTGGGGATGTTACTGACTCTACAGCAAGAAAGTGGTTACGAGAGGGAACCACGAGCAGTCACAGGCCAACAACCCGTGAACCCGGGAGTCACGGACAAGCCCGGGAAACGCAAACCTCCCACGCAGACCGCGAGGAGCCAGGTGGCCCTGTCGACCTCTGGGTGGCGAGGAGCAGGAACGAGGAATGAAGGGGTGCGTGCGTGCAGCGTGGTGCGCGCAGGGCAGGTGGGCAGGTAACTGTCCCCTGGCTACGGGCCAGCAGACCTTGAGAAGCCACAAGGGGACAGGTGCTGAGGCCGTGCCCCGTGAGCGACATGGGCCTCTGGGTCGGGGCAGGATGGCGTGGGGGGGGGCCCGCGGCCACAGGGCCTTTCCAGGGCCGAGCGCCGGATGCAGCTGCGCACAGCGCTGCCCCGGGAAGACGGGGTCCTGGCCTTCAGAAGCGCGGGGGGCGGGGCGGAGACCCTCCCGGGCACAAATGCGGGGGGCTCCCTCCAGGGCCGCTGGGCGTCGTCCCTGCAAGACACGCTCAGGGAGCACACGAGTGACAGGAAGGCGCTATGGGGCGGAGGACATCAGGGCAGGTGACCGTGGGCAGCCCGGGCAGCCAGCGTCATGGCCACAGCGGTTTGTAGCTCCACGTTTTGGTTTCTCCGTCATTTAAGGGACTGACACAATTAAAAAAAAATCCTCATCCAAGAAAAAGTTCCTTGATTTTTAGAGAGGGGAAGTGGGGGGTGGGGAAAGAGATGCAAACAAAACATCCATCACTTGCCTCCTCTATGTGCTCCGATCGGAGATCAAACTCGCAACCTTTTGGAGCACAGGACTGAGCCACACCGGCCAGGGCCAAACTAGGAATTTTTAAAATGCATTTGTCTGTTGCGTAGAAAGCAAATTGCGGCGTTACAAACAAAAGTTACAGTAACACTAGCTTTTTAACTCATTGCTTTTTTAAAAATAAAAACCTACTAGCCCAGGCTGGCGTGGCTCCGTCGACTGAGCGCTGGTCTGAGAACCAAAGGGTCACCAGTTCGATTCCCAGTCGGGGCACAGGCCTGGGTTGCGCGCTGGGTCCCCAACAGCGGGGAGGGGCGGGGGGGGGCAGGCGTGTGAGAGGCAGCCACACCCTGAAGTTTCTCTCCCTCTCTGTCTCCCTCCCATCCCCTCCCCAAAATCAATAAGCGTGTCCTCGGGTGAGGATATAAAAAATTACTAGTTTGTTATTGGACACAGGATGTAACGATGCCACCGATGACTCTGACAACCGGAAGGGGAGGGACGCGGCTGCGCAGGAGCGAGGTCTGCAGCCGCTGACAGGGGCTAAAAGTCTAGGACGTTCAATGCAGTCCCCACGGTAGCCGCACAGAAAGCAGCAGCGGAGGACCCATACGCGGAAATTAGGAAGGGATTGAAACATCTCACCACAGAAACCAAGTAACCCCCAAAAACAGGGATGCAGGAAATGAGGGACGGAAAGGCCGCGCGGCGCAGAGAACAGTGGCACTGTGACAGCAGCCAGCGCGTCCACCGGCCCCGAGGCAGAAAGAAATCCTGTCGTTTGTTCGCCGCAGCAGGGACGGACCTTGGGGACGGGACTGGAGCCAGTCGCGAAGGGACCAGCGCTGCACGCGGCCACTTAGAGAGGCACTGAGAGCGGTGGGCGGGGCGGGGCGGGCACGGAGGCAGAAAGTCGGGGGGCGGGGGGCGGGGCGGGGCTCCGTTCTGCAAACGCAGGGGCCTGAGCGGACAGGGACGCCGCCCCGCCGCGTGAGTGCCTGTGTTACCACTGCGCTGTGCATTTAAAAATGGTTACGATGCTCAGTTCTATGCTACTGTACTTTACCGCAATAAAAGCCGGAAGGAAAGGAAAAAGAGACTTAAGAACGTAGTAATCAAACGCCATGTGTGATCTTGATTGTAACCTAGCTCCAAATTAACAGGAATAAAAGTGGTTTGGGGACAACTGGGCGCACCTGAGTGACAGTGAGGAGGGTTGTTAGTGCTGCCCGTGCAGAGTATCAGACCACGTTCTCCCTCCCCCGCCCCCTTGGCCTGTGGGGCAGCTCTCTGCCCGGGGACGGGGACGGGGACGGGGACGGAAGGCCTTGCCGTGCGATCTGCGTTGGCCTGCGAGTCGCTAGGGGAGGGCGGCCCCGAGCCCCTGGGCCGCCAGCAGCCTGTGGCCGGGGGACACAGCGCGGCTGGTCCGGCTGTGCGTTCAGGAGCTGTCTGCTGGGCAGCGTCGAGGGCCAAGCGCCGAGCAGTTCACTGGGGGCAACAGTGGGGTGGCCTTGGCGGAGAACGCCCTGGCGTGTCCGGGGCTCAGGTTTCACGGGGAGCACGGGCGCCGGATGGTGGCTGAGTCCCCTTGAAGGGGACCAGCACGGGCAGGTGGGGCGGCAGACGGGGAACGGCCGACCAAGGGGTCCAGCGGGCGCAGGCGTCGATGGCCGCCACGTTCTTTCTGCTGCTCCCTGTGCTGGGGATGCTTCTTAACGAAAAAGAACCAGTTCGCCCCGGCTGGTGGGGCTCAGTGGGCGGAGTGCTGGCCTGCACGCCCAGACCCGTCGGTTCGATTCCCAGTCAGGGCACATGCGGGCCGGGTCCCCAGCTGGAGGCGCGTGAGAGGCAATCACACAATGACGTTTCTCTCCCTCTCTTTCTCCCTCCCTTCCTCTCTCTAAAAATAAAATCTCAAAAAAAAAAATCAATTTTGCACAGTGAAGGAAATCATCAACACAACAAAAAGGCACCTGGACAACGTGAAATTCATAAATTATGTATCTAATAAGGGGGTACGATCCAAAACACAGGAAGAACTCATCCAAATAGCAAGAAACTGAGCAATACAGATACCAAAGCAGGCAGAGGACCCGAGCAGATGCTTCCCCACAGAGGGCCAGGCAGAGGCCAGCAGGCCGGCGCAAAGGCGCTCAGCAGCGCTGGCCGTCAGAGGGGCGCACGCGGACACCGCCTCGCACCCGCCAGGCCGGCCACCGTCAGCAGGCCCGCGACCAGCACGTGTGCGTGAGTGTGTGCGGTCGGGGAGGCAAGACTCGGGCACCGTGGGCGGGAACGCGGGTGGGCAGCCGCTGCACAGAGCGGCCTGGAGGGTCCGCAGAAAATTAGAAATGGGGCTGCTTTACGACTAGCGCTCCCACTGCCGGGTGCTTATCTGGAGGAAATGAAATCCGCATCTTGAGGAGACAACCACCCACGTTTGCTGTGGCGTCATCGCCACGGAGGAGCAGCGGAGGCGGCCTGGGTGTGCTCTCCCCCGGCCTGGGCAGCAGAGCAGGTGCGGGGCCCGTGGAGCACACGCCACGCAGCAGCACGCGGCCGGCAGAAAGGAGGGCATGGCCACGGCCCACGGACGGCCCGGGGGCGGGAAGCGGAGCCGAGGGGGCAGGGGCCGCAGGAGCTGGTGCCGCGTGGCGTCTGAAGTACCGGGCTGGGGGCCGGGGGCAGACCGGTGCTCCTGGGCGGGGGGTGTGTAGGGGGAATAGCTGGCAAGGGTCAGAAAACACTGACTTCCAGCTCAAAGGGAAACAAGCCCGGGGTGCAATGGGTGGCGCGGAGACCGCAGTGCGAGGGGCGCCTCCGAGCTGCACAGAGGACCCGGCTCCCGGCGCGCCCCGGGGCCCCCTGGGACGGCCTCCTCCGACCTGGGCTGCGCCCGCCGCCTTTCCCGGAGGGCCCTGCCGAAGGCCGGCTGCGGGGACCTCGCCCCAGCTCCTGCTGCGGGGCCAGGGCGCCAGGACGGAGACGCGCCCCTCCCGCCCCTCCAGGCCGCACACTCTGCCCGTACGCTCCGCCCGCCCGCCCCCCGGGGCTCACCGAGCACTGCTTGATGGAGCACTTCAGCGGGACAGCGAACCTGCCAGTCTGAGCCCGGAACGAAATACTTCCTTCCAGGTCTCTGTTGATCTGAAAGCGAGGCCCCGACCAGCACGAACGTTTGTGAATTCCCCGGCGGCACGCGTGACACAGCACAGTCTGGGCCCCGGGCCGGGACCTGCTGCCGGCCAAGCGCTGAGGGCCCAAAGGGTCCCACGCAGGCCAGGGCCTGGAGGACAGCCCCCCCCCCAGACTCCCCGACACAAGGGCCACGCGGGTCGCACCTGCCGGCCACTGGGCTGGACAGCTTGCCCGCGGCCCTGTCCGGCACTTAGGGACACACAGAGTCCGTTTTATAGAAATAAAACCGCAGAACGGCCTCGCGTGAGCCCGCCGAGAGGCTGGGCGCCCGTCCCCCCTCGCGACGCCTGTCCCCGGAGCCGCCCCCACCCCCTCCCGACGGGCTGAGAAAAGCTGCCTTCTATGTCTTTGGTTTGGGACTGAGACACGCACCATGGGCTTGAAGGTGACGAGCACTTCGCAGGACATACCGGCTGACATGGGACCGGGAGGGTCAAAGCTGCGGACGCAAGGACACGGCACGTCTGCGGTCAGCCCTCCCCGGAGGCGGCCGCGCGCCGCGCCCGCCAGCCACACGCCCTGGGCCGGGGAGCCCCCTGCCTCCCGGGGCTCGGGCCGCGGGGGGGCCCTGCAGCACCATCCGAGTGAGCGGACAGACGGAGGGATGGACAGACGGTGGAAGGAATGAGTGGATGGGAAAAGCCCCCAGGAGCCGGCTCCACAGGGAACGCTGCTGTGGGGGCAGCCGCCGCCGCGGTGGCCCTGGGGACGCGCGCCAGGCGAGGGCCTAGCGCTTTAACACCGATGTGAGGGGCGGGGGCCGGGGGAGCCCGTGGTCGGGGAAGAGCCCTGCGGGAGACTCGCGGGGAGCCAGTGTCCTGGCCCGGGCGGGGCAGGGGGTGGCAGCTCCCCAGAGACCCTCAGACTCGAGGCCCATGGTCTCGGGGCTGCGGCCGGCCTGACGGGCTGTGTCCGGACAGACAAGCTCAGCATGTCACACAGCGACGTGTCCCTGGCCGGCAGTGTCCCCACGGCCTGGGCCCCACCGGGAGGGTCCCCCCGACGCGAAAGCGCAGGCAGGAGCCAGCGCAGCAGCAACAGGGCCAGGGCCCCGAGCTCCGGGCCGCGGAGTCGCCCACCAAACGCAGGGCTCCTGACGGGAGGAGGGACGAGACGCGGGAGACACCCAGCGAGCTCGGAAAGCAACTCAGAGCTTTCGGAAACGAGAAACGTGGCAGCAGCAGCAGAGGCTTGGGGAGCCGCGTTGCCGGCAGCCCTGTCGTCGGGAGCTCGACAGAGGGGCGAGCTGGGCGATGGCGCGGAGGCCCGGGAGCCGCCGGCACGGGGCAGGCTGGGGCGGGACAGCGGGTCCAGGCCGGAGGGACCAGGGCACCGGTGGCGCCGGGGGAGAGCCGCATCAGCAGAAAGGGACGCTTCCCGAGCGGGAATCCCCGGGGGGCAGGCCCGAGGAAACGAAGCTGCACCAGGCCCAGCGCAGGGCGGCGTCTCCCAGCACCACTCGCGGCAGCTACGGTGGAGACAAAGGGGAGCAGGGGCCTCGGGGCGACCCTGCGCCCCGCCAGGACTGGCAGCCCCGCCCCGCGCCCCCCGGCCGTCCTCGCCCTCACTCGATGTGGATGAAGTCCCTGAGGTGCTCGTCCACGCCCTCCAGCCGGCAGTAGTTGATGGTGTAGGTGGCGTTGGTCAGCGTCATCTTCTTCTTGTACACTTTGCCAACGTCGAAGTCCTCGAGAAACCGGGGAAACTGTTAGGCGAGGCGTCCCAGCGGCCGTGACGGCGCATGCTTGGGGGCACCCAGCTGTGCCGCCCGGGAGGCGGGGGGCCGCGGGCGGCGCCCGGGGAAGGTCCCGACACGTCCAAGGCTGCCTCCCCGTGGGGCGCGTGGAGCAGGGCGAGGGGGCGCCTGGCTGGAGGGACCCGCGGAGGCGGCAGCTTCCTGGGGACCAGAGGCGGGCGCGGGCCGTGGCGGGCGCGCGGGCAACAGCCTGGGGCCCCCAGCCCCTGCCCCGCAGAGCCCACACCTGCGCGCTCGCGCGCTGCCACACGCCACCCAGACCCGCAGCCCAGGGAGGAGGCCGAGGCTGCCGGGGGCCGGTGTCCGACCCCGAGGAGAGGAGCCCAGCCACCCCCAGCCCCGGGAGAGGCCGGCGGCGCTGTGACCCCACCCCTCTGTGACCGGCTGCGACTCACCTTGAAGTGGATGACCTTGGGCTTGCTGTTGAAGGGGCAGCCTTTGAACTCGCGCCCCGACACCACCTGCTTGTGGGTCACCCCGCTTCGCAGCCGCGCCATGGTGCGGGCCAGGATGTCCTTGTCCATCTTGGTCCCCCCCACGGGCTTCCGGTCCACGCCCTCCTCCGGCACCTGGGGATTCACAGGGACAGCGGCCTGGCCTGGAGAGTGAGGCCTGGCCAGGGGAGGGGCCCCCTTCTGGACCCTGAGGGCGCAGGGTGGAGGGGGGTGGGGAGGCGGCCGCAGGGCAGGCCATGGGAGAGCCCCCGGCGTGAGCCAGTCAGGGGCCGCCTTTTGGAGAAGGAGAAAAGGCAGCAACAGCCAGGATCCCAGCGGATCTCCAGGAAACAACCGCAGGCCAGGAATTTTCTGGATTTTAGAATCAGTCCAAGAAACAGTTCTCCAGCAGCTTTGGAGGCAGCACCGTTCTCGCCAGGAGCACAGATGCGGGGCCTCCCGGACGCAGCCAGAGAGCCACCCCTGGGTCTTGCCTTCCTCAGAGCCCTGCGGGTCCACCCGGGACCCCGGCTCAGTCGCAGGGGCTGACGCTGGCCCCAGAGCGGGGTGTCACCACCCCCGCCCCCGGGCCCGGCTGTTCTGCTCCCTGCGGGACAGCACAGGTGTCCCCTGAACCAGCAGCACCAACGTGATTGGCCCTCAAGGGGGCAGGAACCACTAGGCACGCAGACGGAGGGTGGGCGGGGCCACGCGGGGCGGGGCCGGCTGGCGCGGGGACACAGCCACAGGGGCCTGGACACGCGCTAGGTTCCCGGCTTGCGGAGCTGTGTCCGCCCCCCTAGAGTCAGGACCGCCGCACTCTGGACGGGCGCCGCTCCCTGAAAGGGGCTTTGGGGGAAGTTTTGAACTTGTGCCTTTTTCTAGAAACGTGCACCAAAGACCAAGCAGAGCAAGATCAGGAATTGTCCCGCCCTGGAGCCCCGCGGCCGTGTCCCCGAGTGTGGGGCCACCTGACGAGGCTGGGGGTGGGTCTGAGATCGTGGCGTGAGCACGGGGTCCTGGGGGCCCTGGGAGGGGAGAAAGGAGACCATTGGGGGGAGAGGCCTCAGAGCCGCAGCGTGGGCCAGGCCAGAGCCAGGGCGCCGGGGCCGAAGGACACGCGGAAGGCGGAGACGGGAGGAAAGACAGAGCCTGGCGTCCGACGGCCCACAGCTCAGAAGCACACGAGCGAGTACCTGGTGCAACTCGTAGTCCTCGTTCCAGAGCCCGGGGATCTCCGGCTCAGCCAGTGTTTTGTCCTCCTGGCCGGCGCCCCTGGGGTCCCCGTGGAAGGATCCGCTGGAGACGCCTTCCACCAGCCCTGAGAGTCCGGGCCCCGGAGCGACGGCACCCTTCCGGCTGGGCAGGCGCACGCGGGGCTGGCTCTGTCAGCAAGAAGGAAACGAAGCTCTTTCGCTTTCCCAGAGACCAGGGCACATGCCATCGGGTAGGTTTTCTTCCATCTAAGATGCGATGTAAGTATCCCCGTGCATCGTGGCAGTTTTCCCAGCGCCCACACAGGCGCCCTCGTTGACGGCCGTGAGCCTCAGCTGCGTGGGTCCCTGGCTGTCCCTGAAAACACCGCAGCCAGAGCAGCCCCGGTGGCTGACCGGACAGAGTGCGGGGCCCATGCCAGACGGGGCGTCAGAGGGACGAGAACGGAGGGGCTCCCAGGGAACGGGGCCGGAGGCTCCCGGGGGCGGCTGGCAGAGGCTGCGGGAGGGGACGGGCTGGGTGGCTGCGAGCGAAGCCCCGGGCCGGGGAAAGGCCTAAAACGCCCGCGAAGACCCCGCAGGGCGGAACGTGAAGAAGCCCGAGGGGTGCTGCTGGCTGCGGGTCGGCTGGGGCGCAGGTGCCGGGGTCGCTGCCGTCGCAGCGAGGACTCGGAGGCGCGGGAGGGGCTGCTGCCGGCGCGGCCCACGCCCTCCGGGACAGGTGAGGCGGCAGCCCTCAGGGGGCGGCCCTACCGACCGCCTCAGTGGGAAGGGGGCGGGAGGGAGGCTGTGGCTCCCGGGGGTTCCGTCTTCGGTGGCGGGCGATGGCCTACCCGCACGTGGGGCGAACGCGGCTCTGATTGGCCCTGCCCTGGCCCGTGGCCCGTGACGGGCCTTTGGCCTCACCTGCTACCCGGGGACAGGTAAGGTGGCCTGAGCCAGTGGCTCCCGTGGCTGATGAGGCACAGTGATTTGGGTCTTGTCCCCTGCACCTGCGCTGTCACCCAGGACAAGCCAGCTTCCAGGTAGACCCCGTGTGGCCTGCCACCCGCGCGCGACACTACCCCAGGCCCTCCGAGGGAGCCACAGGGCAGGGGTGGGGCGTCAGAACACACCCCCCACGGCTCGGGCTGTGGGTCGGGACACAAGGCTGCCCGAGGTTTACGCGGTGACCCCGTGACGCCCCCACGTCGCCCAGGACGCCCACGACCGCCGGTCCCTCTGCTCCTCTACAGGGCCGAGCCTCTGGCCTGCTCACCACGGGGCAGCAGGGAGCTGCGGGAGCCCTCCCCTCGCTGAGGTCGGCCAGGTAGTCCCAGGTCCTGTCTCTCAGCGCTGGCCGGGCGGCGGCTTTGGGTGGAGAGCGCGGCCTCCCCTTCCTGTCCTCCTCGGCCGCCTCCTTCAAAATCCGGCTCACGATCTCCTGCTTCCTGAGCTTCTGCTGCTCCTCAAAGGCGCTGGGAAACCCCGTTGGCTGAGAGCAGGCGCGCAGCCTCCGGCCTGGAGCTGGGCAGCCGCTCGCTGGCCGGGCCCTCCCCGCCCTCCCCAGCCCAGTGGTGCCGCGCCCCCCACCCCTCTGCTCCCGGGCACCCAGGACCTGACCCTCCGCCTGCCAGGTCCCCACAAGCCCTGGCCCTTCGTGAGCGGCCCCTGTGCCTGGCGCTGAGGCCATTCCCTCCCTCAGCAGCTCCCCCGGACCCTCCCTGCACAGGCCTGCCCCAGGCTAAGGGGCTGGGGGGTTGGCAGAGCTGCCTGGGGACCCTCCGCCCCCAGGGTGGATGGTGGCAAAATTCTGGAGGTGACGCCCAGGGCCCCGCGACTCCCGGACAATGGATCTCTCACAGCGAGGGGACCAGGGGCCACACCTGGGCAGAGCCTCACAGCAGGCCCCTGGGAGAGTGCGGGCTGGGGGCTGGGAGTGGGGGCAACGGGCCCTCCAGAAGGGCTGGGGAGGGGGCGGGGCAGACCCCACTCTTGGGTGGGAGGCCCGCGGGGGCCGCGCCCCTCAGGGCAGGCCGCAGCCTGGGGACCTGTGTACAGGGACCGGTGGGGCCCAGGGGGGTTCTCGGGAGAACAGGGGAGCAGGCTGTGCCGAGAAGGCAGCTCCGAGCTCTGGTCTGGGGGACCAGAACGTCCTGCCCAGGGTGCTGAGCATTGGGTTCCCGGCTCCAGAGCCTGGGGCGGGGCAGCGAGCCGGGTGGGAAGCAGCTCCGGAACTGGGCCAGGAACCCGGGGCTTAGTGCCAGGGGCAACGAGGGGGTGCCTAAGGAGCACCCCAGGCCCAGGACAGGCCCTGCCTGCGGGGGAGGGGGGGGCGGGTCTCCACAGGGGCCGGTGGAGGGAGGGGCCTGTGGGGGGAGAGGCTTGGCAGGAATGGGGGCGGGCGGAAGCTCTAGGGTGCATCCCACAGGCCTGTCCTGGGAGAGGCCCAGGGACACATGGGTGTCCCCCCACCAGGCAGGCCCTTCCTGCAGCCTCACCGGCTCTGGGCCTCCAGCTCCTGGCGCCGGTGTTGATGGAGAAGGCGCTTGAAAGCGTCCCCGCCTTGGGCCAGAATCGCCTGCTTCTCAGCCTGGGCCTTTTGCTCGGCCAGCACTGCCTTGGCCTGGCCCCACGCCTGGAACTTCCGGAGGGTTTCCTGGGGGGCAGAAAACACTGGGTTACAGCCCCCACAGGTGCGCTCGCACACGGGAGCCCTCACCACCCGGAGCCCGCAGCCTGGCCAGAGCCTGCCCCGCGGCCGGCCCAGCCGCGCTTCTCCTGGTGCCTTTGCACAGGCTGCCCCCCAGCCCATCTCTGCCGCCCCCCGCCCTCTCTGCCCCCCTCGCCCTCTCTGCCGCCCCCCGCCCCTCTCTGCCGCCCCCCCGCCCCTCTCTGCCCCCCCCCGGCCCGTCTCTGCCACCCCCCCGCCCTCTCTGCCCCCCCGCCCCTCTCTGCCACCCCCCCGCCCCTCTCTGCACCCCCCGCCCTCTCTGCTGCCCCCCACCCTCTCTGCCCCCCCCCCCCGGCCCGTCTCTGCCGCCCCCCCGCCCCGCCCGTCTCTCCTGTCCTCACCGGCTCACACCCTGAGGCCCCAGGCAGGGCCCGAGCCCTGGTCCTTTGCCTCCTTTCTTCCCACAAGACTCAGCCCCAGGGGCACAGCCCTGCTGCTTTCCTCCTGCCCGGCCTGGGCTTGGCCCGGGAGCCTGGGGCAGACGCCCTGTGCGTCCCCGGAGTGACTGCGTCACACGATGAGGACTCAGGAGGCACTTCCGAGGAGCGGGGTTCAGGAGGGAGGGCGGGGACTGCTGCCTGGAAGGGCTAGGCTGGGGCCCTGAGGGGTGAGGCCGCCCGGTGGGAGGGCCGGGGCTGGGTGCATGGCGGGCACGCACCCGGTTGGCGGCGATGCTGTTCTTCAGGGCCAGCACGGCGTCCATGCGCCGCCTCAGGTGCTCGCGGGCCTGCAGCTCCTGCTCCCGCTCCTGCTCCCGCACCCTGGGGGAGGGGCGCTGTGAGCTGGGCAGGCCCCCGCAAGTGCAAGGGTGCTAAAGGGCGCGGACAAAGCAAGGCGGTTGAGGGCAAACTACAGGGAAACGTGGCCTGAAACCCGTGTTTCTGGGCCGGAGGCCCGTGCGTCCTGGGGTCCCGTTCTGGACACACAGGCAAGTGGCCCAAAACTAAAGACACAGATTTATTCCTTCATAGGCTAACGTGGCTGCTTGATAACAAAGGCAGGCGAGGGGGGCCTGGACCGCCCCGCCCCGCCCTCCCCAGAACGTGTACCTGCCCAGGGAGGCCTTCAGGAACTGCACCGCGGTCCTGTGGCTCTTCCTGGCGTCTTCCTGCAGCTTCTGGTGCCGGAGCCCGTGCTCCTTCCGCAGGCGCAGCGCGTGCCTGCACACACGCACCACTGGCTCTCCGGCTCGTGCCCGCCCTCCTGCCCGGGGCCCCCGGCCACGCCAACGGAGTGGGCGCCGCGGGCAGCAGGCCCGTGAAGGCCCGGGGAGCCCCAGAGGGGCGCTCTGACCCAGGCTGGGCCGGGGTGGGGAGCACAGGGACCAGGACCCCAGGGGACCCGGAACCCACAGGGGCAGCAGGAAGGTGGGGCCCAGCGCGGGGTGGGGCGGCGGGGGAGGGGCCTCCTGGGGTCTCGGAGGCCCCTGGACAAAGAGCCGAGTGACAGTGAGGGGCTGGGAGTGGAGGGGCAGGCGCGCGCGCGCACCCGGGACCAGGGGAAGACGCCCCCCCCCCCCGCGGGTGGGGGCGTGGGGGCCCGGGGCTTGTGCACACTTACGGGTGCCCGTCCGGCTGGGGAGCCAGGGACGGGACGTGCAGGCGCCGTGAGGCGACAGAGGGAGGGACCGCGGGGAGGGCTGGGGAGGGGCCGGGCCGCGGCGCAGGACCAGGGACCAGCCGGCTGGGGAGCCGGCGCCGGAGGGCTGAGGAAGGGCAAGTCCAGGGCCCGGGGGCCAGGCCACCCACCTGGTCCTCAGCAGCCGGTTCCTCTCCGCCCTCCCCTGCGCGTCCGCCTCCTTGCGCAGCCGCTCGGCCGCCTGCACCTGCCGGCGCCTCCAGGCGGCCTCCGCCTCCTCAAGGGCACACGTGCGCGCCGCCTCCAGCTGGCCCTCCTGGATCTCGATGTGCCACAGGGCGCTCCTTGCGAAGGAGAGGCACTTTTCTTTATGTTGGCTACGGGGCTGGCGACCTAGGGCTGAGCACCCACCGCAGGGATCCGGGAGGGCCCAGGCTCCTCGCACCACGAGTGGACAGTGGGCACCCCAGTGGGTCGGGCACCCCAGTGGGTCAGCCCCCCCGCGAGCCCTTGGGGCCCGCATCGCCGGACACCGGGGCTCCCCATCGCTCGCAGCACCGCCCACCCAGCCTCCCTCACCCTGCGGGCAGCCCAGCCGGAACCTGGGTCTCCACTTTGCGAGCATCCAGGGGCCCAGGTGGGAGACACCACCCTTGAAAGGGGCTCCCGCCGCGCTGGGACAGGACAGGCGTCCTGGGAGACGCGGGCAGGTGGAGGGGTGGGCTGAGCCGCGCGGACGGGCCGGAGGGCGTGGACCTGTGGTCTCAACACAGACGGGCAGGTGGAGCGGAGCCGCCCCGCACTCACTCGCTCTCCCTCAGCACGGCCCGGATTTTCGACTGCAGGTCCCTCTCGTCCTGCAGCTCGGTGCACAGGCGTCGGGACACAGCCTGGAGGCGGCCCGCGGCGGCCCTGAGTGCCGCGGCGGCGGGAGGGGACAGGGGGCAGCGTGTCAGGGCCCGAGTCACCGAGAGCAGGGCCCCCGGGCCTCGAGGCCAGGTGTCCTCCGGGAGGCCCAGCAGCGCCTTCCCGGGCCTGCCTTTCCCCGGCTCTCCGCGGGCTTCTCCAGGGCGGGGGCCGGTCCCCCCCGGTGGGCAGCTGCTCGGAGTGGCAGGCCCGTCCAGATCTGGGGCCTGGGAGGACCCAGCACCCTCGGTGAATGCCAGGAAGCAGCCGAGCGGCCATCGCCACCGAGACAGCGTGCGGGTTGTGAGTTCTCGCACGTCACCCCCTCCCCGTCCTGGCGCCGCGGGCGCCCCGGACACTGTGCCACCATCCCCGCCGGCTCTGACCTCAGGGGGAGCCATTTCCACCTGGGGGGCGGGGGGGAGGGAGGGGTGGGCGGCACAGAGAGGCGGGCGGCCCCCAAGACCCCCGTGGGACCTCCTCACGGGGCAAAGCCAGTCCCAGGGTCGTCCCCTGCCAGCTCCCGGCTCGGGCTCCAGGACACCGGCCCCACTTCTGGGTGGCCCGGGGGGTCACGTTCGCACGGCCCAGAGCAGTCTTCCCCAATCGCAGCAGCCTGCTGTCTTCAGCCGGGCCCAGCCTGGGGGTCACCCCCTCAGGGAGCCTCCCCGGCCACCGGCTTCCGCCCTCCTCACCCCCTGGTGGCAGCTGTCTGCTCTGGGTTTGTCCATTTCTCGCGCTTAATGGGAGGCTTCTCTCCTCCCGGCCTCCCGGTCGCCCACCCCCCGCGCCGGCCGCCGGAGCGAGGACCTACGTGTTGTTGGCCTCTCTCTCTGCAGCTGCCTCGGCGGCCACGTGCTCCTGCTGCTTGGCGATGGCGTCCATCCGCTGGCAGCACGCATGCAGCTCCTCTCTGGGATCGGAAGCCAGAATCCGGGGAAGCGGTGTGGACACAGCCCTCGGCCCGCTGCCCAGCCTCAGGAGGGGCCGTGGCCAGTGGCTGTGGCCACACCGTCTCTTCCTGGTCAGGGGTTTCTCCGACAGCCAGCCCTGCATGCAGGGTCTGGTCCGTTTTCTGAAAGCCCTGCCAAGGGGCCGCCCGTGTGACCTGTGCCCAGGTGGGGGTGGCCGTGAACCGGCCCAACAAGGGGCTCAGGCCCTGAGGGCTCCCCGGGAGGCCTGGGCGCACAGCGGGCACCAGCCGCACCTTGTCAGGGGTCCAGACCGCAGACCACGGGACAGCCAGGCCGTGGGGCCTGCGTCGGCTCCTGGCTCTGAATGTCACTCTGCGGTGTGCCTGTCACCTCAGTCACAACAGAAAGCTCAAAGCACCAGCCCCGGCTGTGCGGCTCAGTGGACTGAGCGCCGGCCTGTGGACCAAAGGGTCGCCGGTTCGATTCCCAGTCAGGGCATGTACCTGGGCTGCAGGCCGGGTCCCCAGTAGGGGGCGTGCGAGAGGCAACCACACATGGATGTTTCTCTCCCTCTCTTCCTCTCTCCCTTCCCCTTTCTCAAAAAAAAAAAAAAAAAAAAAAAAATCCTCGAAGCAGCGGCCCTGGGGGGCAGGAGCGAATCGCTGGGAGCGTGTGGCGCTGAGGCCGCACAGAGGAGGGTCTGGGATGTCAGGCGACGCTGACTATTCAGGGGTCAAGAGGTGTGATGTCTGCAAGTTGCTTCCCAGGAACTCAGCTAAAACCAGCCCGACAGAGGTGCACACACAGGGACTAGTGGTCAGAGGCCGACAGCGACTCTGGAGGGGCCCGCGGGGGCCGCGGTGCAATTGTTTCCAGCTTTCCCGTGTGTTTGAGCCGTTTCTTCACAGACGTCTGGGGATCGCACAGTGGCTGTTGTTGCTGAGCAGGCTGGGAAGCGACCGGGGCGGCCAGAGCAGCAGGACCCAGAGGCAGGCGCGGGAAGCCACCGCCCGGAGGCCGAGGACCCCACTCACCTCGTCTTCTGAATGAAGAGCTCTTGGTCTGCGCGCAGCTTGTCCAGGCGGCTCAGCTCCTTCCGCAGCCATGAGGCCTGGATGTGGCCCTGGGCGGCCGCCTGCTCCCTCTGGTCCGCTCCGGCCTTCTGCGCGCTCCTCGGACTGAACGCACGAAGGGCGCCAGCTGCCGCCCGGGGCCGGCACACCCTGGGTGACTCGCCCCCACCGGCCCCAGCCCAGCCCCCAGGCCCCGAGGCTCGGCGGGGACGGCGGCGGCCCACCCCTGCCTGTTACCCGCGGTCCCCCGAGTCGGCACGGCCCTTGGCTCCCCGAGGAGGAGCTTCGACCCTGGACTCCGGGTCCTCCAGCCCATCGTTTTCTAGAAATCAAGGTGAGAGGTTTAAAAAAAATTAAAAAAAGCAGATCTAGATATTTAAGACTTAAATTCAAGAATAAATCTTTTTTTAAATAGTTTTTAAAGATTTTTATTTATTTACTTTTAGAGAGGGAGAAGGGAGGGAGAAAGAGAGGGAGAGAAACATTGGTGTGTGGTTGCTGCTCACGCGCCCCCTGCTCGGGACCCAGCCCGCCACCCAAGCCTCTGTCCCGACTGGGAATGGAACCGGCGACCCTTTGGTTCTCAGGCCAGCGCGACCCTCTGTGCTACAATGCGCGCTACTTGTGAGCAGACCTGTAGCACCGCCCCCCAAAGGTGGGACGTGGTCCAAACGCTCCACCTCGGGGGACAGACGAGCACCTTCTTCCATCTTGGGAGACAGGAGTTAGCTAGAAAAAGGATTACAAAATACAGGTGAACAAGAGCATACATTAAAAAAAAATAACCTACAAAATTGAATTTCATAAGGATTAACAGCTTCCCTAGTGAAAAGCATTGAGAAAACAAAACGACAAGCCCTGGGCTCAGGTGAACATCTGCAGCGTGTTCGTGCGCCACGGGGCTGGCCGCCAGGACACACGACGAGCTCCTCAACACCACGAGCCGGAGCCCGCACGCCCGCTGGGAGGGGCAGGCTGCTCGGAACAGGCGCCGTGAGGGAAGGCGTGCTTACAGCCCTGCGCTCGCGAGGCTGCAGCGTCAGCGGCCGCTAGGGACACGCAAGTTAAACCGCAGGAGGTGCCGCCACGCGCTCCTGAGAACGCCCGCGGCCACGGCTGCCCGGGGCTGAGTGCGGGCCGGGGCGCAGGGGGCTGGCACGCTGCCGCCCGGCGGCCAACCACGCGACAGGCGCCCTGGAACACGGCGGGCAGCTGCTTGTGAACCTGTGCCACCCAGGGGCCCAGGAGCCCCACGGAGCGGACTGCCTTACAAAACTATGTTGACAAAAGCTGACTTCTGGTCAAGATGGCGGCACAGGCAGACCCGACTCACCTTCTGGCACGACCACATCAAAGTCACAACCAAGTTATAGAGCAACCGCCGCTCAGAACTGTCAGGAAATGAGTTGAATGGAAGTCTGACAACTACGGAATGAAAGAAACCACAACCATCCAGACTGGTAGGAGTCACCGAGACGCAGAAGAGGCGGGTCCCACACCAGCCCCCCAGCTCCGGGTCCCAGTGCCAGGAAGATAAGGCCCCACAACTTCCAGCTGTGAAGAGCAGAGGGGATTGAATTGGTGGGAGAAACTGCTGGAGCCCCGAGCAGGTCCTCTTAAAGAGCCCACACACGGCCTCTCCTGCTCAGACTCACTCCCTCTGAGCTCCAGCGCTGGGGCGGCCGCTTGAAGGGCACCCGTGGCCTAAAGGGAGGAACTGGGGTGCCGGACATCAAGGTGATCAGAGGTCTTTGTCCCTTTTCTAAACCCTCCCCCCACAGAGCCGGTAGGCTGGAGCCATATCTGAGACTCCACCAACCTGACTAACACTGTGTGACCTGCCTGGAGACCCCCCCCCCCCCCCAACTCCGACCCACCTAAATTACTGGCCCACCCAAGCTGTTAACTGCACCTTTTCCATATGAATGGCTGGTCTCAGCTCGCGCTTCCCAACTTCCTGAATCCTCCCAAACAAGCGGCAGCCGGCCTCAGTGAGTCCCCAGCCCCCATCCGTCTTGCTAAGTGGCCCGGGGCCTGGCACAAGCAGCAGCAGCCTCGATTCACAGCTTGGCTTCGCCTGGGAACCCCCAAGCCCAGCACAAGCAGCAGCCACCTCAGGCTGTTTTACGGCTCAGGCAGCACGGCCCCGGGCAGAACACAGGCGGGGGCTGAGCTTGGCCTGCACCCCCCGAAACCCCAGGGCCTGCGCACCCAGTGGGCAGCTGCAGACCACGTCGGGGCACCGCCACCCTGCCCCGCACAGCTGGTCCCCCACGGAGGGTGCACATCGGGTACCCAACTTGGGTGAGAGGGGAGGCTGTACCACGGGACCGTGCAGGACACCTACTACCTTAGGCCACGCTATCAAGAGAGGGACTCAAAGCAGCTCTACCTAATACATAGAAACCAACACAGGGAGGCTGCCAAAACGAGGAGACAAAGAAACATGGCCCAAATGACAGAACAGATCAAAACTCCAGAAAAGAGCTAAACAAAATGGAGATGAGCCCTGTATCAGAGGCAGAGTTCAAAACTCTGGTTATAAGGATGCTCAAGGAACTGCGTGAGGACTTGAGCAGCAATAAAAAAGATCCTGTCAGAACCGAAGGCTATGCTAATTGAAATAAAGAACAATTTATCAGTCGTTGTACAAACAAGAACAGAACTGTGGACACGGCGGGCGGTTTGATGGTCGCCAGATGGGAGGGGGGTGTGGGGGTGGATGGGTGAGCGGGGAGGGGATTAGGAAGTACAAACAGGGAGTCACAGGGCAGCCGGGGGGTGCACAGTATGGACTAGGACATGGAGCAGCTGCAGGACTTACACGCATGACCCACGGGCCTGAACAAGGGCGGGGGTGGCCGGAGGGGGTGGCAGTGCTGGGCGGAGAGGGCAAAGGGCGGACACCGGGGCAGCTGTGACGGCGCCACCAATGAAATGCGGTTTCAAAGCGAGCAAGCTCGCAGAAGCGCCGTGTGGCAGTGTCCGCGGGACCTGGTCTGCAACAGCCCCTGACTGGCACGGCCCGAACACTCGTCCGTCTCGCGGGGACGGACGAACACGCTGGGACGCACTCCGTCAATGGATGATGCTCAGCAATAGAAAGGAGCAAGGCCTGGGACGACGCGGGCGGGCCCCCAGGGCACCGTGTGAAACGACCGACGTCAGACCCGGGCGCAGAGGCAGGGCGCGGGGCCGGGGCCGGGGCCGGGGAGATGCTGCTGGGCTTGTTTCGGGGGGCGGTCACGCGGGGGCAGAGGCTGTGAGGACAGATCGCATGGGCATGTGAGGCGAGCGTGCGTTCCAGCCTGCGGTTGTGAGAAGGCTCGCGCCGGCCACGGTCCGAAGCCGGTTCCCTGAGCCCCAGAGCCTTCCTCACACTCCCCACGTCGCGGACGCGGCAGCTCGCCTGCGGGAACCTGGCACACACGGGGCCGTAACTGCCGATGCTCCCTACGAGACCCTACGCCTGCCGACAAGCTTGTGTCTCGTGGCTTCATTTAGAAATTGCTTCAGGACAAGTCACTGAAAAAGACGTTCAAAGCCTGATAGTGTCTCCCAGATAAGCCATCAATAATTCAATGCCATAATTAATTTTTTAAAATGTTACAGAGAAACAAATGTGCGTTCAAGTCCCGAGTGGCAGAATTTGAAAGAACCTTGTAAAATGCCAAGAGGGTTCCTGCCCCTTGGAAAGCCTGGCACCCGACGAGCGCGTGAGGGCAGGACTCGGAGGCTCTGCGCAAGAGACCACGTGGCCGACGCCACTGGCTCTGGGCTCTCGAATCCCAGGCGCTCACCTCGCAGAGCCTGGTCGATGCCCCCGCAGGTGGCGAGGGGCCGGAAGCGGAACGTCAGGCGTGCACAGCCCGGGGCAGCCCCGCGCACGCCGAGCCTCCGGAGCGGGCCACCATTCCAGACCAGGGGTCCCGTCCCCGCTGCGTCGTCACTAAACGGCAGTGGGGGACTCCGTCACCTCAAGACGTGACCGGCCAGGGACAGGCCAACGGGAGGAGAGATGGTTTCAATGCCACAGGCATGGGGAGCAGAGGACCCCTGGGAACCCGCCCGCAGGCGGCACCCCTGGGCCCCAAAACCCCGGCCCTGAGCAGGATCAAACCCAGAGACTCGCTGAACGAGCGTGAGAGCAGCAGCTGGAATTCCCACTCTGGTCATGCGTCCAGCCAGCGGCCAACCAGCACGCTGAAAGCAACCAAAAATGCGGCAGAGAACTGTATTTGAGTCGCCTTAAGAACCTTGAAAAATTGACAAGAAAATAAGAAAGGATCAGGTCAAAAACCTAAGTCAAGGCAAAAATATAAACAGATTGAATGACCAAGCTGGAGAAAAACATCTTACCAAATTGGATTAAAACACCAATAAACCAAAAAAATCTAACTCTACCACCTAAAAAAGAGGTACCGAAAGGCGCGCTCACAGAAGCGCCGCTTTAACGGTCGGGAAAAGGCGCGCAGTTAGAAACGGCCGGTGGGAAGCTGGCGTAGTCGCCTGGAAACAGGCAAAACACTTTCGGCAGAAGCAGTGACCGCAGGAGAGGTCCCCCTAAGGCCGACGGGGCGCTCCCCAGGAAGATACAACAGCCCCAAATCCAGGCGCGCCCAGCAACAGCCACAAGGTAGACAGAGCAAAGAAGGAGAGCGGGGCAGTGTGTCGTTTCTCACGGAAAACTCAAACACTCCCCTCCCGGGAACTGGCAGTAAAGCCTGATCGAACGGTCACCAGTGACGCACATAGACGGCACCACGGACAACCGGGCCCGCAGGCGCACGGGGCAGGGCCGCGGCAAAGGCCGCAGACGGCGCCCCCGAACCTCCTTGCTGGCCCGGTGCAGGCCTCCCTGACTGCGAAGTGCTGAACCCACCCCGAGCCGGCGCTCTGACCAAAAGCAATCAGCCAAAATTATCAACAAGTGGGGGATGGTAATTCCCCTCATTTTTGTGCGAATGAGACACGTACTTCTAAATAAACTGTAGGTTGAATTAAAAATCATATGGAATTATAAAATATTGGAACTGAACTCCACCAAAAATGTTAACTATCAGATGGAGCGTGGCTGAAGGGTCCGGGTTAAGTTCAGAGCCCTCGGTGCATGTACAAGGGAGCAACACTGGCTAAAAACTAATGCGTTCACCGTCCAATTCAAGAAGTTACAAAAACTGCAAAGTAAACTGGACAAAAAAGTACAAGAGAATTTGAAAAGACGGGAAATCAGTGCAACAAAAACAAACACGTGATAGAGATGGTCCTCAAAGCCAAAAGTTTGTTCTTTTAAAAGATTGATAACGCTGATGACTCTTTCACGAAACTCATCAATAAAAAGAGAAGAAACCAAAAGCCCACCTCAGAACAAAGGGGTCTATAACCACAGATGCTACAGACATCAAAAAATAAAAAGTGTCACGAACAAGTTTATGCCAATGGATTTGAAAATTTAGACTGTGTACAAGTTATTACAAAATATCATTGGCCAAAATTGTTTCAAGAGAAAAAAGGAGAAAACTTGAACAGCCCCACAGGCACGAAAGGGATGGCGTTCCACGAAGCGTGGGGGTGCGACACGCTCCGAGTCCGCACCCTCTCCCGGGAGAGAGCCGGGGGTCCCCTCCCCGGGTATGCCGTGGGGCGCACATCGCTTTTATCCCCGAAGCCCGAGAGGGACACCAGAGGAGGAAGTTCCAGCCCAGCCTCG